TCTCGGAAGTTCGAGTTCCAAATATTTGTTCGGATTCCGAGACAAAAGTTTCTCGAATCTCCATTTGGTCGAAAACCGAGGCGTTCGAGAACCGAGGTATCACTGTATGATGCCATTAAACACACACACACACACAGACACCTTTTTTTTTTTTTTTGGTTGTTGTTAATCCTCACCTGAAGATATTTTTCCATTGATCCTCCCCCCCCCCCCATGGGCCAATGCTCTCACCACTGAGCCAAAAGGGTCAGAGCTCATTAAATATTTTTAAAATACAATAATAAAGTATTATAGTATCAAATGGGAAAAAACAATACATTAGTCATTTTTAATTATATCAATCATTTTTTAAATAAAAGATGGCCAAACTCATACATACATATTGGTTTGTCACAATAATGAATAATATTAGTTAGTTAATTAAATTCCCCAAAAGATTTCACAAGGAAATTTCACCTTTCACAAATACATGGATGGACCTGTGAAATAAGCCAGCCAGAGAAAGACAAATACCATATGATCTCACATAAATGTGGAATCTAATGAAAAAAATAAACTAATGAGCAAAATAGAAACAGAGGTATCAACGCATGAAACACTGTCAGAGGGGAGAAGGGAGAGGGAGGACTGGATGAAAGAAGATGAAGGAATTAGCCAAAGAATGTATGTGCATAACCCATGGACACAGGCAACAGTGTGGTGATGGCCAGAGGGAAGGGGGTCGGGGACTGGGTGGAGGTGGGCAAAGGGCGGGCATGGGGGCATCTGTAATAGTGTCAACAATAAAAATGAAGAAAAGAAAAAATTGTAACTGTGAGGTGATGGATGTTAACTAAACTTATTGTGGTAATAGTTTGTATATATATAATGTTATACACCTAAAACAAATGCAATGTTATATATCAATTATATCTCAATAAAATTGGAAATGACAACTAAAAACAAATTCCCTAATTTTAAATAACTTTGTAAAAACTGACCTTTTTCACATTTGCATGTGCCACAGATAGTAGTGCCTGGGTTTTAAATCTTGACTCATAGTTAAAGAGCATGTTTTATTAATTTAACTGTGGAATTTTTTAAATGAAAGCAGATATACCAATAATAACAATTGAGGTGGTGAGAAGTGGTCATGATTTTTATAAATCTTGAAGAGAAATTGTAGAGGATTTTGTGATGCTATAAAATTGGGATGTAGGGGGAAGCAGAGGAATGAGGATTGTTTCAAGATTTTTTGCATGAGCTCCTACAAGTTACCACCGACTGAGAGGCTTCAAGTGGAGCCAGTCAGATAGAGTGCGGAACCTCACTCTTTTGATGCCATGTTTGAGATTATTATTGGTCATCCAGGTGGAGATGTCCAATAGCCAATTTGGCATATGACCTGAAGTGAGTAGGGAGGCTTGAGCTGGAGATATATTTTATCTTTAGGATATAGCCATGAAACTTCTGAAACTTCAAATACCAACATTGAGAGGTAAGTAAAAGGAGGGCCTGGTCAATGAGATATAAGAATAATGAGTGCTTGATGAGCTGTAAGTCAGGTTTAAATATATACAGGAAATAATAATCAAGGTTGTCAGATACTGCTAGTAGATCTCTTAATATGACGACTGCTAATTAACCACTAGAGTTAGTACTATGACCTTAATAAAAGCAGCATGGTGAGTTGCAGACAAAAGCCTGATTGATTTGAGTATGTGAACAAATGGAAGGAGAAGATGGAGGTACTATAAATGTGGACAACTGTGTCAAGGGGAGCAAAGAAATGGGGGCACTTCTAATGGAATTGAAATGTCTTTCATTAGAGGATGAAGAGGGTCATGCTAAGATTAGTCCCCGTGGATTCTAGAGCCTTCTGTATTTTTTTTTAGGGGGTAAGAGAGAAAGAGAAACATCCATGTGAGAGAGACACATTGAGTGGTTGCCACCCACATGACCCCAACCGGGGATGGGGACAAACTGCAACCGAGGTACGTGCCCTTAGCGGGAACCGAACCCTGGATTCTCTGGTCTGCAGGCTGATACTCTAACCACTGAGCCAAATCAGCCAGGGCAGATTTGCTTTTACCATGAATTTTTATCGTCCTGTTTGTATGAATAATTAAGGGTGTCATCCTATCAAATATATTTTAAATGGCTTATTGGACTATACTCCTGCTTCACTGATCATGTAAGTTTTCCTTTAAAATTGAGAAAGTAGCTTTCAAGATGGCTATGACTTTTGATGTAGTAATTTCAGCATGATGCTATTTCCAGTGTAGTTACAAGGTAAACAGTAAATATGTCTGGTATGTATGACCTCCAGCAAGAATGTGAATAAGTTGTGTAGATCATTATACAAGTGCTGTAGCCGGACACTGAACCTGCTCTTTGAGTTCTTAACCAAAGTGATATATATCTGCCTTTTGTTGTTGTTGTTGTTCAACCATACTGATTTTATTTACTTATTTTTAAATTTTAACTTTATTGTTGAATGGATTACAGATGTTCCTCATTTTTCCCCCATTGACCCCTCCTCCCCACTCCCACCCCCCTTTTGCCTTTTCCCACACTGTTGTCTGTGTCCATTGATTATGTATATGAGTTATTTGGTTTATTTCTTCCCAACCCCCTTTCCCTTTGAGATTTGTCAGTCTAGCAACCAATTTGTACTTTTTAATCCCTTCAGCTTTTTCCCCCATTTCCCCAACCCCCCTCCCATCTGGCACCCAACAAAATGTTCTCTGTATCTATGAGAATGTTTCTGTTCTGCCTGTTCATTTTGTTTGTAGATTCAATTGTCGATAGATATGTATTCATTGCCATTTTGTTTGTTCATATTTTTTATCTTTTTCTTCAAAAAGACCCTTCAACATTTCATATAATAATGGTTTGGTGGTGATGAACTCCTTTAACTTTTTCTTGTCTGGGAAACTCTTTATATGGCCATCAATTCTAAATGACAGCTTTGCAGGATAGAGCAATCTCGGTTGTAAGTTCTTGCTTTTCATCACTCTGAATATTTCTTGCCACTTCCTTCTGGCCTGCAAAGTTTCTTTTGAGAAATCAACTGACAGTCTTATGGGAACTCCTTTGTAGGTAACTCTTTTTCTCTTGCTGCTTTTAAGACTCTCTCTTTGTCTTGAACCTTTTGCATTTTGATGATGATGTGTCTTGGTGTGGGCCTCTTGGGGTTCATCTTGTTTGGGACTCTCTGTGCTTCCTGGACTTGTATGTCTGTTTCCTTCCTCAAGTTAGGGAAGTTTTCTGCCATTATTGTTTCAAATAGGTTTTCGATTTCTTGTTCTCTCTCCTCCTTCTGACACCCCCAAGATGCGAATGTTGGCATGCTTGAAGTTGTCCTAGAGGCTCCTTACACTATCCTCATTTTTTGGGATTCTTTTTTTTTTTTGCTGTTCTGATTAGGTGTTTTTTGCTTCCTTATAGTCCAAATCAATGGTTTGCTTCTTGACTTTACCTACTCTACTATTGAATCTGTGTAAATTATTCTTTATTTTAATTAGTGCCTCCTTCATTTCTGACTGTTCATCCTTCATTTCTGACTGGTCCTTTTTTATGATCTTGAGGCCCTCACTAAGTTTGCTGAGGTTCTCACTAAGTTCTCTGAGCATCTTTATGAGCAGTATTTTGAACTCAGCATCTGTTAGGTTGCTTATCTCCATTTCATTAGTTCTTTTCCTGGGGTTTTGTTCTGTTCTTTTATTTGGGACCTATTTCTTTGTCTCCTCATTTTGGCTGCCTCCCTGTGTTTGTTTCTGTGTATTACTTAATGAGAGGTATGGGGCTAGCTGAGACCAGATGCTGCTTGTTTGAAAGAATTTAGGAAAACCTGAAGCAGGATCCAAGACAGGCCAATCCTATGGTAAAGCAACTGGCAACAGCTTGGGTGGGCTTGAAAGTTGGGTGGGGCAGGGCCTCAGGGAATCACCAGGGTGGGGCAAACAGTGTGAGCCAGGTTGCTAGAGTCCCAGATATGGTGGCTGTCTGCTGTCCCAGGGAAGGGCTCACCAAAGGAACAAAAGCCTCTGACAGCACATTTGTACTGGAGAAAGACCCCTCTCCAGCCCTTGCTCCAGTGCCAAACAGCTCAGTTCTTCCCTGTATGTCTCTGGCGCCCCTCGAGCTGCCTCCCCTCCAAGCTTAGAGGGAGTGAGTCTGATAAGTCCGTGCATGGGTCCTTTAAGAGGAGCTGCCTGGGGCTCCAGCTGCCTCAGCCTCCCTGAGCCTCAGTTCCCACTGGCTTTTCCAGCCAGAAGTGATGGGGACTTCTCTTTATGGCACTGGAACCCTGAGCTGGGTGCCTGGTGTGGGACGGGGACCCCTCAGTCCTCAGGGAGGACCTTTCCAGCTGAGGTGTCCTCCTAATTTTTTTTTTTTTATCCTCACCCAAGTACATTTTTCCATTTTTTGTTCAGACAGAGTGGGAGGGAGAGAGAGAGAGAGAGAGAGAGAGAGAGAGAGAGAGAGAAAGAAACATCGATGTGAAAGGGACACATCGAGTGGTTGCCGCCTGCACGACCCAACCAGGGGACTAACTATAACCGAGGTACATGCCCTTAGTGGCAACCAAACCTGGGTCTCTCTGGACTGCAGGCTGATGCTCTGACCACTGAGAAAACTGGCCAGGGCTGTCCTCTTAATTTTTATCTGCCACACCTGGGTGTGGGACCAGTCCGTTGTGCCTCCGCCCCTCCTACCAGTCTCAATGCTGCTGTTCCTTTAATTCCGTAGTTGTAGGACTTCCTTTCAGCTTGATTTCAGGCAGCTTTGAATGATGGTTGTTCTGTAGTTTAGTTGTAACTTTGATGTGGTTGTGGGAGGATGTGATACCGCGTTTACCTACACTGTCATCTTGACCGGAAGTCCAACCATACTGATTTTAAATGTCATACAATTTACAGGCAGAAAACGATTTTGATTCTCATTGTTTAATAAAATAATATATTTTAGGTGGAGAAATGAAAGATTTATTTATATAAACTTATCTTTTCCTTCAGTTTTGTCAAAGCAACACGCTTCGCAAGTTCTGGTTAGGAAACGCCGTGCGAATTCTGGTCTTGAAGAAACCAGGCAGGGTAATCTTGAGAGAGAGTGCATCGAAGAACTGTGCAATAAAGAAGAAGCCAGGGAGATCTTTGAAAATTACCCTGAAACGGTAAGAACTCATGAAAGTTAATGTTAGCACACCTAGACATGCAGTTACAAACAGAATTTTTCCAGTGTGAGTCTGTGTTCCTTTTTAACATTAATAATTGTGTTTATATCATGTTTCATATGTAGTAGCCATGGAATCATTTCAGAAGGATGCACCTTCAAAGGGAGGTGGACTAGCTAGGAAGACACTACTGTCAAAAGCAATGAGCTCTAACCAAACTATAATTCAACTATACCTCATTGTCAGCAAATAGTATCCTCCTCATGGTTTGTAAATACTTTCTCCCCACCAGAATTTGGTAGTATGGGGTAAGGGGGTAAGGAATCTCAAGTATAATGTGTGTGTTTGTGCACATGTGTGCACACCAGCAGGTGATTGCATTGTTAACACATACTTAATTAAATCACACCATTGGCATTTTTAACCAGCCTTTTCATCGAGAGCTTGGTAAAGGTTAGGTACTCAGTGAATGCTTACTGAAGAATTTATTCAGCACCGTGTTCCCTGAGTATATTTTAATCTATTCCATAAAACCTTGGGAACTTTCCTGAGCCATTTTATATCATCAGTCAATCCTGGGGTTAGAATGTACATCTTAGTGGATTAATTTTTCCAAGTTAGTTTAGAAAAATCTAATCATACACATTCTTAAATATCATAAAGAAATATGACCTTATCTTTAGTCCTATTATTTCCTGGAGGAGGATATTCTCTAACATATCCTGTGGGTAGCAGGGGTATAAATAGTGCCTCTAAGAATTCAAGTTTGATAATCTTCTTGGTTACCTCAGATATATTTTCTGAGATGAACCTTATAGCCAAAAGGAAATGAGGAAGAAAACGTATACAAAGTACCTCCTTTACCTCTGCCATGGCTCTTGGAACCGTGAGACTAGTTGAGAGATAATGAGGAAGAATCATTCTCCAGTTGTAGAACTTGTCCAAGACAGTGATAACTTGTGTTCTTTTGAATTCTTTTACCTCCACCTACCTTAGTAGGTTCAAAGGGATTTGTTTCTAAGGTACAAAAAGATTCATTTTATTTTAAATATGCTTTTATTGATTTTTTTTTTAAGAGAGAGAAGAAGGGAGAGAGAGAGAGAAACATTGATATGAGAGAGAAACATCAATCAGCTGCCTCCTGCACGCCTCCTACTGGGGATTGATCCCAAAACTCAGGCATGTACCCTGACTGGGAATCAAACTGGAACCTCTCAGTCCATGAGATGATCCTCAATCCACTGAGCCACACCAGCTGGGAAAAGATTTATTTTGAATACCCTCTAGGATTGAAGCAAAATGTTTCTCTCAATTCTGTTGCTTTTGTAGATAAGCAATTGGCAAGACAAAAATATTTTATTCCACACAATATACAGAGTATTCTTATTTTGTAGGAAATAGATACACACATGCACATACATACATACACACACACATTTATTTTTATTATAGAAATTTAAAATGCATACTAAAGTATCTAGAACAATGTAATAAACCCCTCTGTACCTTCCTCCCACTTCAACAATGATCAGCAATCTGCCATACTTGCTTTGTTCATTTTCTACTCCACCCACTCGAATTTTGTTTTGTTTTTCTGGAACATTTCAAAGCAAGTGTACATGGCTGAGATATCATATATATCACACATGTTGGCATCTGAGTAGCAAATGGGGTGCAAAGCCGAAGACCGTAGTGGAGAGAAGGGAAGAGAGTGGGAAGGGAAACTCGTGAACGTTCCCTCTCTCCTCCACTCATTCTGACATCAGCCACCCTGACCGAAGAGAAAGGTGTGACAAAGGAAGCAAGGGGAGAAATAAGCCCTGGCCAGTTTGGCTCAGCGGTTAGAGCGTCGGCCTGCGGTCCGGAGAGACCCGGGTTCGGTTCCCGCTAAGGGCACGTACTTCGGTTGCAGTTTGTCCCCGGCCCTGGTTGGTCGTGCGGGTGGCAGCCACTCGATGTGTCCCTTCACGTCGATGTTTCTCACTCTCTCTCCCTTCCTCTCTCTCCCTCCCACTCTGTCTGTACAAAAAAAATGGAAAAATATCCTCGGGTGAGGATAAAAAAAAAAAAAAGAGAAAGGTATGACAAAGGAAGCAAGGGGAGAAATAAAAGGAAGGAAAAAACATTTGTGCCGCTTTTATCCTGCCGCATCCACTCGTTGTCCACAACCCCAATACCCTAGCCGACATTCCCAATCTCTACCCTATTGTTTAGCTCCACATTATCCCGAATGTTTTCTTTTCCCCATCACATAATCTCCTTTTAACCTGTTCTTCGTTTCTTCTCCTGGCTTTTGTTCTGTGGAAGACAGCGCCGCTGTCTGGAATACTTGGTGGGAGATGCCATCCTTACACACTAGTAGACATGCGGTGTGTAAGTTTATATGTGAGAGGAGGAAACGGCGAGGGCTTTTGACTCTGTACTGGAAGAAGTTATGTTTTGTACTTGAGTACATTTCATGTAGAAACACTGGTTTCTCATGAGGTGTTCTTGTGCTATTAATGTTACACATTAAATATAGTATGGCTTAAGAAGGCTTTTGTGAACCAGCCTGAGAACCTTCCATTAGAAATCATTTTCAACATTTTTCTCTCTCTGATAAAGTGCATTCCTTAGTCCAAATTACTGATTTAAAGACAAACTTTTGGCATATGACCAATTAATAAGTAAGGTATTACTTGTACCTATGATGCTAACAGATAAATGTCCACTTCAATTTACTTCAGATGTTATCAGTGTTATTCAAACATTGGATCTAGTGTGTTTAATCAGCATGGCATGAATGTGTCAAATGGGTACCTAATCATTATGGAAAAATAAAGGATTTACAAAATGGGGGCACATAAAATTACATTTAATAGCTTCAGTAGAACTTGTTTTCAGATTAGAAATTTTTTGTTTGTTTGCTTTTGTTTTTGGTACATGCCCCTAGCAGGAACTGAATCTGGGACGCTCTGGTCCGCCGGCCGACGCTCCAACTGCGGAGCCAAACCAGCTAGGGCAAGATTAAAAGTTTTTGAAGCATAATTTAATTTATCAGTATTGCCTTAAGCCTAAGCCTCTTATTACCCTAACATTATTAGTTATATGCTCCTGGTATATATTACTATAGAAAAAAATCTAACAATGTGGAAATGACGGTTATATGTAATTTATTTGCATCTTTTTTTTTAATCCTCACCCGAGGATATTTTTCCATTTTTTTGTTCAGATAGAGTGGGAGAGAGGGAGAGAGGAAGAGAAGGAGAGAGAGAGAAACATCGATGTGAGAGAGACACATCTACTGGTTGCCTCCTGCACAACTCCAACCAGGGCTGGGGATGAACCGAAACCGAGGTACGTGCCTTTGACCGGAATCGAACCCATGACTCATTGGTCCACAGGCCGACACTCTGACCACTGAGCCAAACCGGCCAAGGCTTATTTGCATCTTTTAAAAATATTATTTATTTTATTTTATGGTTTTCCTCACCATGTATCCCCCCCATACTCTCCTCCACCTTCACCCAACCCCCCTCATATATTTACACCTTTAAAATAAAAACATTTTAAAATTTGTTTAACTCTATAGTAAAATTTAAGTTTGTTAAGATAATTTATTTGTTTTTCTTTCTTTCCAGGACTATTTTTATCCAAAATATTTAGGTAAGTTCAAAGGTTTTTATTAATATAATGCTATAAATGGAAGGGAACTTAGATATGATCAAGTCAAATTCTCCACTTATATATTTCATCCAATACAATTTCATTAGCCTTGGGAGTAAGATCCCATTTTTTTATATGCAATATTGCTGTCCTTTTATTACAGTTACATAGAAAAGTTTAGAATAGTTCTTTAATTAGCATGTGACATTTTGACTTTTAGTCTTCAATATTCTATCTTTCTCATAGAGGCATTGGGCTAATGCAAAGTTATATTTAGGTCCATGGGTTATCTTTTAATGGAAGGAAAAGTCTCTGTACTCCCCAGAACTTATGGCATATATAATTATTGAAATTATTAACAACTTCTCTCTTGGCAACACAACTTCATCATTTCCTGCAGGATCCCTCTCCATGTTTTGCTTTTGTTCACAATTCTGGACTCCCAAGAAATGAGGTGTCATTTCCATACCCAAACAGATGAGATGAGTTCCACTGAATAGCAATAAAAGATAACAGGGTTTTGGTTTGCTTTAAGCAAATATAAAAACATTTTGCATTAATATTATTTGGAATGTTGTCAGCATTTCTCAGCAAGAAAAGTCGAGTATGATTTGCTCACCTCTTTCTGATGGGATTCTCTGTCGATCCAGCCCACAGAGGTGTGCTCGCTGTCCTCCTTTAGGCTCAGAATTCTCCCCATCTGTGCATCTTTCCACCTCACTGTCATCCCAGCCAATGTGAGCTGCAAGCCCTGCGGAATAGAGCAGTGAATTGTCCTTGAAAAAAGAATAGAAATGTACTCTGATACACATTAATGACTATGCAGCTTACCATTTATTAATATAATTTTACAAATACCTTTCTATAAATTCTTATTTCTCTATAAATTGGAGGGCTTAATTATAGTTTAAGGCTTTACTTTTGTTTGTTTTTGTTTTGTTTCTGAATATCCACACAGAGATGCCAGAGACCATCTTTAGATTTGGTATATCTCTTCCTTTCCCCCTTTCCTGTGGAGCCTTGCATTGAAATGATGGTATGTACTTATACCTACTCTTTGGGACAATGAACAGATAGGAGCCTAAGACCACTGTGTAGAAGACCCTTTTAGAGCCAAATGCTCTTTTTCATAGTCCTGAAGTCATTGCTCTTTCATTTTTGAGTGTCCACGATGGTCTGAATCTTGAGTGTGTGGTACATCCTGAGCCAAGGAGACTCAGCTGTCGCACCCAACATTTCATTTCACCCCCTCGTCAATGGCATGACCTCAGTTCAGTGGTATCTCTGCTTAGAACTCCATGGCATGACCCATTTCTGTTCAGTGAGCTGCTAGGTGTTTTCCAGTTGATTTATTACAATTCTTTTTGTAATTCCAATCCAACATTTCTCCTGCAAGATCTTAAAATTATGATAATCCTCTTATTTTCACTTTGACTTCTCTGTTTCCATTTTATTCTTCCCCTCACTTTTCTTTTTGAGCCACTAATAGCAGACTCAAGCAGTTTTATTCAAATTTGGAAAGGGGACACTATAAAAATTTTGTAGTGATATTATTTTTGTCTCTGAATATGAAAATACAACAAAATTGCCTAAAACTTCAAAAAACAATGCTACGTCTTAAAAGAACGTTGAGATATAGTTACACATTTATGAAAAATAATTTTCTTTTGTAATGTTATACATGACTCACTTTCTAAAGCAAAATCTACAGGTTTGTACTGTTAAAATGGAGAAAAGATAGAGTAATAAGACTATTTTAGCTTCTCAATTTTAGGTAGAAATTAGAATATTTTATAACTAAAACAGACAATATTTGGCTATTAAAAAACACAAACTTGCATTAAAAAAATGTAGTATTAATTAATACGTATTTCTTTGGTTGGTGTGTTGAACCTGTTTTTGCAGGTGTCAGCCCTCTGGAAAATACATACTTTTGTTCACAGAGTATATTTGGATAAAGATAAATAACACTTTAATACAACATTGTGTGTTTTGGAGAGTTCTTTAGATAAAATATTTTTTTCTTTTTCTCCCTTTTTCCTTCCCAACTTCCTCTTTGCTGGCTCAACCCAATTTTCTCCTCTCTTTGCCTGTTTTATTTGGCAGCATGGTAGAAAAGCTAAGTCTCAGATAAATAAATAAGATATAGGCTCTAGTCTCAGACCTAAAAATTTCTACTGTGTCAGGTTATGCAAGTTATTTAACGTTTCAGGTTCTGTATTTAAATGTACACTATGTTTTCTAACTTCAGAGCTATTGGGAATACCAAATAAGTATATTTATGGAGATAGACTTTTTATTGCATCAAATTTTCTTCAAATGTCAAGTATTTTCATTTAACCAACCCACGTATGAAACAAAAATATATTTTTTGTTATGGCTTATTTTTTTATTAAAACTTTATATTTTGGGTTGTATTTATACATCAGCATATTTTATGAATTCCACTGTTAAAAATTGAAAAGAAATGCTCTAACTTAAAGTTTTCTGTTATTTGATGTATGTATTTCGTAGGCCAGATTTTCCTACTTGATCAAAAAAAACCTTTATAATCCTGTCCCTGGTAAACCTAACAGTAATTTTATTAATTACCACAACCCATGCCCGGAGCTCCTTTCAGTGAGATAAGGATACTCAAGAGATTAGACCACTAGTAACCCATACTTTTTTGGACAGTGTCTAGATTTAGAGTTCTAGGGGTTTAGAAAGCACTTCAATCTATCCACACATCCCATTACTGCATTGAAAACAGAATTTAGACAGAAATATTCTGGATGTCTAAGTTGTGTCCTTTTCCTTAGAAAATAGAATAAACAATTCTACCATCCATATTGACCTTTAAAATATCTCTTGACAGAGTGAAGGATTCCATTCATGGGAGAGAAACTTCTTGGAAAGAATGCTAAATTCTGAGCCTAAATATAAACATTACACATAAATTTTAACTTCTATGTCTTACCAAGTTGGTGAATTAGCCCAGACTGCTGACTTCTCTTAAAATCATCTCAAGAGAAACAATACATTCCAGACATTAACAATAACAAAATAATAATAAAAAACAAAACAAAACAAGAAGTATGAGAAACCCATGGGTAGACCGAAGGCTGGCTTGAACTAGCATGTGTGTGTGGGGAATCAGGGTGTTGACTGCTGAGGCAGCAGTCAGAGAACAGCTTGGAATATTTTAAAAGTGATCTAAGCATTCTAATCAAGAAAAACTTTTAGAAGTAAACCCTGAGTAATAAGAAATAAGGAAAAAACAAAAATAGGGATAGAAATAAGTTAAATGGAAAACAAAAGAGAGATTAACAAAAGCAATATCATATTCTTTGGAAATATCATTAAGTTAGACTGATCTCTGACAAGAATAATCAAGGAAAAAGAAAAACAAGGAAACAGGAAATATCAAAACAAAGTGTAGAATAAAAATGGGAAATCCTAGAAACTCCCAACATAGATAAGATTTATAATCTGATGTTTTACTGGTGAGTTCTTCCACATTTAAATAAATCATTAAGCTCTTTCTTATAAAATTGTCCTAGAAAATAGATAAAAATCTATGCTGTGAGCTTATTCTAAGACCGGTGCAATCTTGATTCCAAAACCAGATAAACACAACATAATAAAATAAAAATATAATTCATTTTTATTTATGAATTAATTCTAAATGAAATTATGCCCAATCTAATGTAAAGTATATTAAAATAATATATTATGGTAAGGTAGGTTCTATTCCAGAAATTCAAGGAGGTTAACATCAGAAAATCCATTAATGTAATTCTCCACAGAGTTTATTACTACCTCAGTTCATACAGAAAAAGTAGTTGATAAAGTTCAACACTTAATTATGATTTAAAAAAAAAACTTTTAGCAAACTATGATTATAGGAAAACTTTCTGAGCTTGGTAAAGGTTAAATATAGAATAACCATATAATTTATCTTTCAACTTCTAATATTTTGTTAAAGACTAATAGTACACTAGATAAATGCCAAGTGAAAAAGAATAAATAGGACTGTCTTGGCTAAATTGGCAAGTATAGTCATGCTAATAATATACGCACACACACAACATGAGAGAAAGAAAGAGTAGAAGGAGGGAGGGAGGAAAGAAAAGGAAGGAAGGAAGGAAGGAAGGAAGGAAGGAAGGAAGGAAGGAAGGAAGGAAGGAAGGAAGGAAGGAAGGAAAAAACCTACAGTAAACATTCTACTTAGTGGATAAACTTTAGATACAGTCTCTTTATGATTGAGTGAAAGACTAGAAACACTTCAGCTTACAGATAATTCAACAGAGAAAGAAAAGGAAGAATCATGAGACAAAAATATATGACTGTCATTTGTAATTGATATGATGATATACCTAGAAAAAAGTATCCATAGAGAAAATATTAGAGCACATAAGAGATATTAGGTAGTTCTAAGTCTACCCCATAAAAGTTTGTAGTAGTTTTTTACACAAACAGTAGTCCAGTAGAAAATAAAATGTTGATACCATTCACAGTAGCAACAAATACCATTGAATATCTAGAAATAAGTTAGGAATATATAAAACCTCTATAGGGAAAAATTTTAAACTCAAATTAAGGCTATAGAAGATGAACTGAAATCATAGAAAAATATTTCATGCTCTTGAATTGAGTGGCTATAAAGAGATCAATTAATCTATATATTTGGAGCAATCCTGTTTAAAATTTCTGCTGGATTTTTTAAAAGGAATTTTGTAGTATTTAAATCCGGGAATAAAAGTCCACACATGCCTAAATTAACCTTAAAAATGCAAAGGAGGAGCCCTGGCCGGTGTGGCTCAGTTCGTTGAGCATTGTCCCATTTCACTCTCACATTGATGTTTCTCTCCTCGCCTCCCTTTCCCTTCCTCTCTCCCTTTAAAAGTATAAATGAAAAACATTTTTTTAATGCGAAGGAGGAAACACCTGATTAACTAATAATATACAGCTGTAGAAAGAAAACCACTTGCTGTTGTCAGAGGAACATGTAGACTAATGAACTTAAAGAGTTCAGAGACAGACTCATCTATATATGGCAACCTAATATTTGATAAAGATGATACCATATATCACTTTGTATTGTTTAGAAGATCATGTTGGGAAGACTGGCTAGGTATAATCAGAAAATAAATCTGGGTACCTAACTATCCCCAAATATAAGGATGGATTATAGGTGAAATAAAGACACTAATGTTAAAATAAAACTATGAAATTAAATAAAAACTGTATGAGAATATCTTTATAATCAATGACATGGAACAAAAAAACTTCAGATGCACAAACTATAAGGTAAAATAATTGGTTAATATGATTACAACAAAATTAAGAACTTCTCTTAAAAGACATAAAGGATAAGGTTAAGAGACGGTAAGAGAAATGAGATCATAATTATAAATCTTTAAATTTCTGCAGACCCACATGAACAATAAGTGCCTTTAGAAAAGTGGCTACTAAATAATAAAATATTCAGAGAAGGAAACCTCAGTTTTTAAAAAAAATGAGATATGCTTCATCCCACTGGAAATCAGGAAAAAAAAAAGTGATATCACTTTATTACCTATTCTGACAACAATTAGACAGCCAAGATATGGAAATTCTTATGCTCTGCTGATGGGAATGCACCTCTGGAGAGCCCCTAAGTTCATGCCTATCTGATGATCCTACAATTCCAGAACCCACTCAGAGACTATTCCAAAGACATTTCTTATGCATGTACTAATGAGGCATGCATGAAGTCTTCCACTGCAGGGCTACTTGTAGAGGTGGGAAATTGGGAGCAATCTGAGTATCTTGGGTAGAGAGGATTTTTTAAAATGGTGATTGCATGCCATGAGTAATGCTTTGCAGTTAGAAGCAATAAATTATATGTAGCCACATGGATAGATCATAAAAATTCAATGCTAAGGAAGAAATGTCCGACAGCATGATACATAATACACAGCCATTTGCAAAAATGAAAATTCATGGACACAAAATTATAAGTACATTTTATAAGAATACATACAAATGAAAATATATGCATTAACTCATTAGAATGGTTGCATAAGGGGTGAATGGGAGTGAAAATGCAGATAAAAAGGAATTTATCCATATATATATATTTAAAGTTTTTTTCTTTATTGATTTTAGAGAGAGAGGAAGGGAGGAGAGAGAGAAACATCCATGAGAGGGAGCATCAATTGCCCACCTCCTGTATGTCCCCCACTGGGGATTGGGCCTACAACCTGGGCATGTGCCCTGACCAGGAATTGAACTGGAGACCTCTTAGTGCATGGGTTGATGCTCAACCACTGAGCCATACTGGCCAGGCAGGAATTTATATATATTTAAAAGGCAGCAAGCAACAGGCTTTTCAAAGTAATAGATTGTATCATCAAGAGGGGATATGAATAACTGAGTCTTCTATACTTAGAAAGCAAACATTTAGATTTTCATGTGATGGCATCTTCTGTGCCTTAAAGACAGAGGGCTGTAAATGAATTTCGCTGAAAAAAGAAAATTTTGCCAGACTCTGGCTCTACTATAATCCCAGTAAAATCTTTGTTTTGGTGGCATTGGCAGTTTGAACTACTTTTTAGACTTGACAGATTCAGACAAGTAGTACTGTGGTGTCTACATCAGGTGGTAAAAAGGAATCCAATAGTTTGTCCCTAATGAGATCAACAAGGGGAAAGTAAATAGAAGAAGCGTGTAGGAATTGTTATAGTCTAGACCAGCGTTTCTTCCTAGGATGTCTGTCCTGACTACTAGAATCAAAGTGCTTTTTTCTTAGGCTTTCCTCCCTGGGGGCACAAATTTCTGTTTCTAATCCCATTTCTTACGAGGTCTTCTGCCTTCAGTTACAACAATTGTGACGTCTTTATCCAAGTCTCAACTTTCTACTCATCCTCTTGGACTTCCTTGCTTCCTGTTGGGCTATGAGGACGGGGAGTGGGAGGGTGAAGGCTGTAGATCACCCTGCTTTGGAGCAGCCAGGCAGCTGGCTAACTGCAGATTTTTATAAAAACATTATCACATATATGAGTATAGCCTTGTATATAAGGTGCATTATAGGTTATGTCTACTTTGTAATCTAGCCTAGGGTCCTAATCACATATGAAGCGTTTCACTTGGACCTCCAACCTAAGATCTTTCAAATTCCTGCTGTTATTCACTGTCCAGCGGTGCAAAAGGCGGCCTTCTCATGAAGGAGGAATCCTAGTGCAGTACCTACATTAGTTAATTCTGGGGTTGGGTGACTCAGGAGGAGGGACAGATGAATCTGGAGAAAGAATATTCAAGTCCTAAAACTGCTTACGTCTCATTTGGCCTTGAGAAAGAGCGTTATGTTGTAAGGTGTTACTTCTGTGGGAAAATATTCTAACCCATCATGGTAGGCTGAATAATGACTCCCCCAAATGTGTTCATGTCCTAATCCTTAGGCCCTCTGAATGTTACCTGCTATGGCAAAAGGGACTTTGAAAGTTGAATTAAGGATCTTGAGATAGCAACCTGTATTATCTGGGTGAGCCCAATGTAATCATAAGGGTCCGTGTACAAGGGACACAGGAGATCAGAGTAAGTAGTAGGTTAATTGACAATGAAGCAAAAGTTGGGAGTAATGTGAGGATTGGTTTATGAACCAAAGAATGCAGATGGCCTCTAGAATCTGAAAAAGGTGAGGAAATAGATTCTTTCTTGAAGTCTCCAGAAGGAATGCAGCCTTGCTGAGACCTTAATTTTAGACTCTGGATCCTGTAGTTAAGAGAATAAACATATGTTGTTTTAAGCCATGGAGATTATGATAATTTGTCACAGCAGCAAGAGGAAACTAATGTACACATTGACTTCAAATGAGCCTTTGAATCTATCTGTACTAAATTGTATCTTCCAAAATGCTGTATCTTGCATCTCACATGCTCTTCTGCAATGTCATCTTGCCGCTTCCCATTCACTGTACGGAGCGCATGCTTGCCACCTCTCCCCCTTGCATCTGTGTGGAACCTGGGACTGCTTTGATCAATAGAATGGTGGAAATAAAATGCCTCCTAGTTGGCCTGGCAAATTCCACTTTCTTCCTCTTGAAAGCTAGCTACCATGAAAGAAGAGCCACGCTAGTACCAGCATGCTAAGGGAAACTGCCCCCAGGAGAAGCCCTGCAGCACGACGCGCCATACAGAGAGGGATGCCAAGGAGCCTGAGCTGTCAGATGTGTGAATGCACAGCCAGCTCGGAGCTGGATCCTTCAGTATGTGCAGCAGAAACAAAAAGCCCAACCCAACATTTTCCAGAGACTTGACCCACAATTTATAAGCAAAATAGAAAAATTATTTTAAGCTACTAATGTTGGGATTTGTTTCTCAGCAAAAGGTAATCAAATCCATGTTTTTAGTAAGTTGGTGACTATCTGTACAGTGAAGTGATATACATACTGTTGTCTTCAGTGGCTACTAAGAAATGTTATTTTGCTGGTACTAAGTGACCCTTCATTACTTAAAGACCACAAATATTTTATCCCTGTTTTTTCAGCTGTTATTTCTGCCAGATTGCCATATCTAATTTCATAGAACGTAGTTGCAGTAAACCTGCTTTCCTTTGTGATATTGAGGCACTGTGCAAATATTATTATGTGAGTATCTATGCAACATTGAAAGAATTAGAAGTTGTCTACAGCAACCACAAACACTAACTCATTCTATTGATTTAATTACAGACACTGTCTAAACCAGGCTATAGTCTACAGATTTGAAGATAACTATAGGTCTCTGCTACAGAATTAAGTACATAGATTTATGTGACAATAAATTTCACTTCTGGCTTTAAGGTTCTTCTCCAAAGAAAATCTCCCATAAACCTATTTTTAATGATTTTATATTTTTGCAATCTGCTTTGAATGCTGAATCCTGTAAACCCGTAAGGGCATAAATAGTATACTTCTTTGCATAATTTCTACCATGACTTCAGATCAAGTATGCATGTCTACTCTAAAAAAAGATGACATTTTTTTTGTATTTACAGGTTGTCTTGGCTCCTTCCGAGCTGGATTATTCAGTGCTGCACGTCAGTCAGCTAATGGCTACCTTGACCTGAGGAGCTGTGTCAATGGTAAACACATCTATAATCAATTTAAAAACAAAACCAAACAAATACCTGCAAGTCAAGTACACCCATGTATATATAATGTTTACAAATTAACAAATGAACCCTAAAGGTTATGCTCAACAATGAGGTATTCTCAAAATGCATTTGAAAGAATGCTTTTTAGATGCAAATGCTGCTGTTTTATTAAAAATGAATTTTCTGCCGAATGTTTAAGTTCAACAGTGTGCCTGTTTACTTAGCTTTAGGTCATTGACTTCAGGTTTTTATTCCCAACAGCTTTATTTTGGCTGCAGTGGCATGTAGTGTGACCAAATGTTACAGTTGATTAATCGATCAAAACTGAGCCATGTTTATTCTTCTAACTATTGGCATCAATAACATAAATGTAAAAATCTTATGATAACAAATTAGTCTTCTCCCTCTGAAGTTTACATGGAGTCTAGTGATAAATCTGGTACACTGTCTGTCTCCGATTTCTCAATTTCCCAAGTGAGAGTCAGAGAGAAAGGTGAAATTGCAAGAAGGAGAAAGTGCAAGATTGGGATGTTTGTCCAGTGAATATTTTATATGCAGCATTGACATTATCTAGATATTTATCTGCATTTTCTCTAATATAAAGTTGGTTATGATTACATAAGTAAAACCACTTGACCACATATTTAATTCACACTTTATATTTCTATATTTTACCAAAGGACAGCAAAATAATTTGATAACAATTTCCTGATTAATCTTTCTATTATTATAATTAATACCTAATTTATTACTACTTTTCAAAAAACCTTGATGAATTTATGAGGACACTTCTTTGAAAAATTTGGTACTTAGTTTCAGCTAGGTTTAAAATTTTTTTTTTTTAATGAATTTTTATTTATTTATTTTTGTTACAGATATTTTACCTTTTTACCCCATTGGCACCCCCGACCCCACCCTCCCTTCACCCCATCCCCGGCTTAGTTGTCCATGTCCATTGGTCATGCATACATGCATATAAGTTCTGTGGTTTATCTCTTCCCACCTCCCCACCCCTCCATCCCCTCTTCTGAGGGATGTCAGTCTGTGCCCTACTTCCATGTTTCTGGGTCTACTGTATTCCTCAGACTGTTATGTTCATTATATTCCGTATATAAGTGAGATCATGTGGTATTTGTCTTTTTCTGCTTGGCTTCTTTCACTTAGGATAATACTTTCCAGGTCCCTCCATGTCGTCTCAAAGGATAAGAGATCTTTCTTTCTTACCGCTGCATAGTACTCCATTGTGTATATGTACCACAGCTTTTTTATCCATTCGTCTACTGATGGACACTTGGGCTGTTTCCAGATCTTAGCTATTGTAAATAGTGCTGCTATGAACATGAGGGTACATATATTCTTCCTGATTGGTGTTTCAGGCTTCTTAGGGTATATTCCCAGCAGTGGGATCACTGGGTCAAATGGAAGTTCAATTTTTAATTTTTTGAGGTAGCACCATATTGTTTTCCATAGCGGCTGCACCAGTCTGCATTCCCACCAGCAGTGTATTAGAGTCCCCTTTTCTCCACACCCTCGCCAACACTTGTTATTTGATGATTTGTTGATGACGGCCATTCTGACAGGTGTGAGGTGATACCTCATTGTTGTTTTAATTTGCATCTCTCTGATGATTAGTGATGTTGAGCATTTCTTCATATGTCTTTTGGCCATTTGTATGTCCTGTTTGGAGAGGTGTCTATTCAGCTCCTCTGCCCATTTTTTAATTGGGTTCTTTGTCTTCCTTTTGTGGAGTTGTATGAGCACTCTATATATACTGGAAATTAACCCCTTATCTGATACATCATTGGCAATGATATTCTCCCATACAGTGGGTTGCCTTTCCATTTTGATGATTGTTTCTTTTGCTGTGCAGAAGCTTTTTAGTTTGATGTAGTCCCATGTGTTCATTTTCTCCTTTATTTCTGTTGCCTTAGGTGATGTATCAGTGAAAATTCTGCTCCGTATGATGTCCGAAATTTTGTTGCCTACATTTTCTTCTAGAATTTTTATGGATTCACGGGTGACATTTAAGTCTTTTATCCATTTTGAGTTTATTTTTGTGTATGGTGTAAGTTGATGGTCTTGTTTCATTTTTTTGCATGTAGCTGTCCAATTTTCCCAACACCATTTATTAAAGAGGCTGTCTTTACTCCACTGTATGCTCTTGCCACCTTTGTCAAATATTAATTGAGCGTATTGCCTTGGGTCCATTTCTGGGTTTTCAGTTCTGTTCCACTGGTCTATATGCCTGTTCTTGTGCCAGTACCAGGCTGTTTTGGTTACAGTCGCTTTGTAGTATAACCTGATATCTGGTATTGTGATCCCACCTACTTTGTTCTTTTTCAAGATTTCTGTGGCTATTCGAGGTCTTTTTTGGTTCCATATCAACTTTTGAAGTATTTGTTCTAGTTCTATGAAATATGTCGTTGGTATTTTGATGGGGATTGCATTGAATCTATAGATTGCTTTGGGTAGTATGGACATTTTAATTATGTTAATTCTTCCAATCTATGAACAGGGTATGTGCTTCCACTTTTTTATATCTTCCTCTATTTCTTTTTTCAGTGACCTGTAGTTTTCTGCAAATAGGTCCGTTACTTCTTTGGTTAAGTTTATTCCTAGGTATCGTAATTTTTTTGGCGCGATGGTAAATGTTACCTCAAAAAATTAAAAATTGAATTGCCATTTGACCCAGTGATCCCACTTCTAGGAATATACCCTAAGAAGCCTGTAACACCAATCAGAAAGAATATATGCACCCTCATATTCATAGCAGCACTACAATAGCTAAGATCTGGAAACATCCCAAGTGTCCATCAGTAGACGAATGGATAAAAAAGCTGTGATACATATACACAATGGAATACTATGCAGCTGTAAGAAACAAAGATCTCTTATGCTTTGAATCAACATGGAGTGACCTGGAAAGTATTATCCTAAGTGAAACAAACCAAAGAGAAAAAGACAAATACCACATGATCTCACTTATTTGTGGAATATAATGAATATAACAGTCTGAGGAATAGGGTAGACCCCAAGACATGGGAGTAGGGTACAGACCGACAATCCTCAGATGAGGAGGTGGTGGGGGGAGGGAAGAGATAAACCACAGAACTTATATACATGTACGCATAAGCAATGGACATGGACAACAAAGACGGGGACGGGGTGGGGGGGAAGGGGAGGAGGGTTTCAGTGGGGTAAAAGAAAGGAGAAACGTCTGTAACAAAAATAAAATTGGAAAAAGAAAAAAAAAATGCTTTTTCTTTGAGAGTAACAGAAATTTCCTCTAGCTGACCTAAGCAGAGGCCCATATTGGAAGAATGGTAGGCACTCACAGAGTTGACTGGGAAGGCTAAAGAGCAGGTGTGGAAATGTGTAGGCACTAGGGACCACTGCAAAGTCTGGTGAGGAGAGGGAAACTGCCAATGACTAAAGAAACAAATGGGCATATCATTCAAGATAGTGATAAAGTACTTTGACATTTTATAAACAAAATCCTCTCCCCCAAGAATCACAGTACTCTGCTACCTGTTTTTTAATGTCTGAAAACTATTGTTTGACATATTTTGGCCAGAGTTATTGAAGGCAGGAGGATAAATCTGGTCCCTGTTAATCCATTTAGCCTAAATTGGAAGTCCCCCCCCCTTTTTATATATATCTATATTGAGGGTACTTTTATTTTATGTATCTTATGGAATTGTTTTAATGGTCAATAAGGTAATATATATAAAAAAAATCTAAATTACAGTTATGAAATACTGTATATATTTGCAGATATAAAAGTAATTTTCTTTTGCAAAGTAACTATAAAAGTTTGTCTAATGGACTCACTGTTTTATGAAAAAGTATCATTTGAAGGAAGGAGTTAGAATTCTTTTCATTTATTATAAGTTGTATGCACAGGATTTCTATTAAAGGGCATATTATTTTATTTTACCATGGCATGTGGTAAAAATTAAATGGATGTCTATTTCCTTTAGCCATTCCAGACCAGTGTAATCCTCTGCCATGCAATCAAGATGGATATATGAGCTGCAAAGATGGCCAGGCGACGTTCGTGTGCACATGTAAACCCGGTTGGCAAGGAAAGAAGTGTGAATTTGGTATGTACAGTAAACCCACCTGGCTGATCTGGAGCGACCTCCTGGAAAGTTTTCTGAAGGCTTTATCACTTTAAAAATAATTTATTTCCCCCTTTTTAGATATAAATGAATGCAAAAATCCCTCAAATATAAATGGAGGTTGCAGTCAGATTTGTGATAATACACCTGGAAGTTACCATTGTTCCTGTAAAAGTGGTTTTTTCCTACTTTCAAATAAAAAGGACTGCAAAGGTAAGAGTGGAAAGGGAGAATAAGAAGGTATATACTATGTGAGAAGATTTTTAAAAAAATTTGTCTTTCTTGTTGAAAGTAGTACAGATGTCGCCTCTTTTTTCCTCCCTCCCTAGGAAATTTTTGGAAAACACTTTGGTTATAAGCTTTATAAATGTGCATTATCATGCACTTTGAAACTTTGTGATATTACGGGTCTGCCTTCTTTCTAGTTTATTTTTTATAGGGTATTTTGTTATTTATATTTTATTGTTTTCTTACTATAGTTTATCATTTATAGAATATTTTCTTTTTTCTTACTGTCTATTTGTGTGCACACACAAGATTACATTTTAATACATAATTTTTAAAAGACATATGTTTTTATTGATTTTTTTTAGAGAGAGAGAAACATCAATGTGAGAGAGAATCATTGATAGGCTGCCTTCTGCACACCCCCTATTGGGGATTGCGCCTGCAACCCGGGCATGTGCCCTGACCTGGAATCCAGCCAGGATCTCTCAGTCCATGGGATGACACACAGTCCACTGAGCCACACCGGCTGGGCTTAATAAATATTTTTATTATGCCCCAGACTGTTGGTTCTGTTCGTGGGAGCATTGTCCCACACACCAAAAGGTTTCTTGTTGGATTCCTGGTCAGCATACAAACCTAGGTTTTGGGTTCATTCCCCAGTCTGAGCACATATGGGAGGCAACCAATCGATGTTTCCCTCTCACATCCATGCTTCTCTCTCTCTTTCTCTCTCTCTCTGTTTTTCTTCTTCCATCTCTAAAAATCAATAACTATATCCTCAGGTGAGGATTAAAAAGAAGAATTTCATTATATGGGGATGAAGTTTCAGTGAAAGTCCTTGCATACTAGTGTTTGCAAAATTGTTGCATATACTTTCTTTTTCGGACACTATACTATCATTTCCTATATTCCAATAAAATAAACAACTATACAAATCAATCCAGCACAATTCTTAGTAAGTACTTTTGCTGTATTTTATATTTTCCTGTCAGAAAGACCTCTTTAATTTCCAATATAAGCCCTTGATGCACCTCACTTTCTGTTGTGGTTTGTGTGGAAATGAACAATTGATTTTTTTTTTTACATGTAAGAGCACATCATTGGTCATGTCTTTTTAAAACAATTTCAGTCTTATTTCTGTCAATTTAGCTTTATAACAGTCATTTTACTAGTGTATTTCTTTTTTTCTTTATACTTCTCTTTTCCTCGAGTTTTGACTTTTTTCTTTTCGCATTATGTCTTTTTCATTAGACTGCTTTAACTGCCATAACTAAGTAAGTATAAGTGCTAGGTGTGTGGATAACTAAAAATGAAATTTCCGTCCTAAAGTTAAATTTTGCCTTTAGGAACTGGAAGTGAGTCTTTCTAACTCCTTCCTTCCTTCCTTCTTCCCTCCCTGCCTCTCTTTCTCTTACTCCTCTTCCTCTTCCTCCTTTTCTTCCTTCATCTCCTCAACCTCTTCTTGTTACAAGGTAAAAATAAATTAGTACATTAAAATGTAAAGTTTTCTTGGTCAACTTCATTCATATCTGCTTTGGTAAATCTACCAAATTGAATTCATAGTCAAGGAAAGGGTTGTCTCTCACTGCACTGCAGTGTTTGGTATAATATAGTTTACTATAATAATATTTAAAGTGCATTTAAATGACTAAAGAGAACTGTATTAACTAAAAATTTCTTCTAATTATATACCTAATTTGTGACCATATAGCTTTCTTGTTTGCCTATTTGAAGGTCTGTTTGAGCTTAGAAATTTAGAAAACCAATATCATTAGAACACCGGTTATAGAAACCAATCATAATGCAGGATACCATACGCATGCCATAAACAAATAATACCCATTCCTGCTTCTACTTTTAAAAACTTAAATAGTCCATTCTTCTAACGAATTTGTGACTTCTATTTTTAATTAAAATGTATTTATCCTTATACACTGATTTCATACATGTCTATGTAAATTATTACAAAAACAATACTCATAAATAAGAATGTCCCTGTTGACCAGAACATGTGTACTTCATTTGCATAGCTTTTTATCCATGATCCCTAAGTAATTAGTACAGATCTCTTAAAAGAATGTGTATACAACTATTACAATAAGGCCTTTGTCAACAGTGGATATGCTTGGATCAAGGTGTCAGTAAATATCAGAAAATTCAAGAATAAAGCTTTTCATCAGTCATTAGGTGTCAGTGTGGAGTCATAAAATCGGTGTGCTATAGCCTGAATGCATATGGCTTAAATAATTCCTTGCACTATTTCTCAGACCAACTAATTTAGGCATATGTTTTTACTTTCTTTTAAAAACATTAAATATTTTATTTTGAAGTAATTATAGATTCACATGCTGTTGTAAGAAATAATTAAAATAAAAAAGATCCCATGAACCCTTGTCCAAGTTTCCCCAGTAGTAACATTTTAGAAAACTATAGTACATTGTCACGCCCAAGAAAATTTCCTTACCACAGAGATTGATTCTATTATTTTTGTGCATGTCAATTTAAATAATGTCTGAAATTTCTGCTATCAGTAATAACCAAATGTGGAAAAATTAACTTTTTAGAGTAGAAAATACATTTTTCATTCTGAACTTGCCCTTCAGAGAGTACAAATGAGAAATGTTCACCTAGTATTAGATCTGCATTGAACTATTTCTGTCATTTGTTTTTGTTTTTGTTTTCACTAGTTCTTATCTAGTAACTAATTGCAATCAATACTTTGTCTCCTACTCTACCATGTAATGTAATAAATGCACCTGAAATTTCAGGAATATTAATTTAGTACTAAAGTTTGTATTGGATTAATTGCAGCTTTAAAAATACTTTGAGACCTTACTCAATCTCATTTTAAATTTAATTCACTTTTGAATATTTTAGGCAACAATAACGGTGTGCAGATTTAGCTATTGTTCATTTCTGAGGGAAAACATAAGACTAATGAGCCATCTCACATTTGTTTTTTTGGTTTTTTTTTATCCTCACCCGAGGACATTTTTCCATTTTTTTGCTCAGGTAGAGTGGGAGGGAGAGAGAGGAACAGAGAGAGAGAGAGAAACGTCGATGTGAAAGGAACACATCGAGTGGCTGCCACCCGCACAACCGACCAGGGCCGGGGACAAACTGCAGCCGAGGTACGTGCCCCCAGCGGGAACCAAACCCGGGTCTCTCAGGACCGCAGGCCGACGCTCTAACCGCTGAGCCAAACCGGCCAGAGCGTCACATTTGTTTTTTATATTTGTGATCATACAGAGTGTATGTACTATTTTTTGTTGTTGTTAATCCTCACCTGAGGATATTTTTTCCATTGATTTTTAGAGAGAGTGGGAGAGAGGGAGGGGAAGAGAGAGAGAGAGAGAGAGAGAGAGAGAGGAAGAGAAGAGAAGAGAAGAGAAGAGAAGAGAAGAGAAGAGAAGAGAAGAGAAGAGAAGAGAAGAGAAGAGAAGAGAAGAGGAGAGAGACAATGATTGGTTGCCTTCTGCATGGTCCCCACTGGAGCCAGGGATCAAACCAGCAACTCTTCAGTACATAGGCCGACCCTCTAACCACTGAGCACACCACCCAGGGTTACTTTTACGCCCGTATTTCAGAAATACGTATTTAGGAATACATATGAAGACTATGGTGGCCCTGACTGGTTTGGCTCAGTTGATTGGCCATTATTCCGTTTTGCTCCCACATTGATGTTTGTTTCTCTCTCTTTCTCTCTCTCTCTCTCTTCCTCTCCCTTCCCCTCTCTCTAATAATCAATAAAAAATAAATCTTTAAAAAAAAAAAGAATATGGTGAATCCCTTATCCCATTTATTTTCATACTGTAACCTGGTAGATAAGACAATAACTAAAGCCCTCTTTCTTTTACATAACTACACAGGAACATTGCAAACATCAATCAAATTCTTTATGTTTGCATAAAAGTATCATACTTGGTGAACTAAAATATGATGACAGATTTAATATTTTGTTATTCGCAGGCTACTTTGTTGTCTTATTTCATATATTAAACCAGAACCAGGAAACATAGATCAAGGGTTCTTTACTAGCATCTTCTGGTATGGGAAAAATTTTTTTTAATATATTGGTTTCATTTATAGATATGGACGAATGCTCATTGTGGCCAGACATTTGTGGCACAGCTGTGTGCAGGAACACCGTGGGATTCTTTGAATGTGAATGTGCTGAAGGGTACAGATACAATCCCACATCAAGGTCTTGTGAAGGTAGACTTGTGGTGGAGAGGGTGGGTTTGAACCCTGATTTGATATTAGAAGCATTGGTTCTGTTTAACATCACAATCAGATATTCTAAGATGGTAAAATCCATCTTATAGTTTGGTCAGTTAATCATTGGCTTCCTTCCAGAGTAAAAGCATGTAAGACACATGCTCTTTAGGTTTAGTGTTATGTGTTCTGATTGGCCCTCTAAGCTAAATATGAATTAGAGACCTCCCATGTATGATAAAAACAAAATATACTCATTCTCACATCATTTAACTAATATTTGAGGATAGAAAGAATTTCAAGCTGGAAGGCATAACATATATATACAAAAGGAAGGCAAGTTTAAAAATCATGTGGGTATGATTTCTAACAAGGGTAGTTAGAATCTTTTTATTTTATGCCAAGCTTTGCAATGATTTTCTGTGTGTGTATCGGTATGTCATTTCTTGTCAGACAAGAAATGACAAAATTCTATTATAATTAAATACACATAAAAGAAAAATCTAATTCTAACCAAATGATAACTGAGCTCTAGAAATGAGAGAAGCACTGATTAGTACTGTCAGTGCCTGTGGACTAGGAAGAGCCCTTGGACTTGACATGACTTCATTTGGCCAAGTGGTGCTGCCATGTGTACTTCAGGGAGCTTGGATGCACTTTATTACTTTAATCATACAACATTCTTTTTCACTGGTATCGAGGGATCACTAAGTTTTAGGTTCTATTTAAAGCATTTTTTGCTGTAATACGAGTCACAATTGGGGGAATTTTCAAAGATCTTATTGAGTGCATGCATCGAAAAGGTCAAGGATCTGAATAGCTAGCTCTGCAGGGGACCCAAGCTGCAGCATATTATTACAACTGTTTAAGAATGATTTTCTCCAAATATGGAGTAGGAACAGGGACCACATGGAAGATTTCACAATATGGGAGGTAATATAGTACTGGGGAGGTTTTGTTTGTTCTTTAAGAGAAGTTAAGAAGAAATAAACATATATTCTTAAATTGACTGCCACCATTAATTATTGCATTATGAAAAGTCATATGCTTTTGATATTGTTATTTAATCCTCAATTACACTGACCTTCAGTTAAAAGGGATCATTTTCCCCTGTCTTCCTCTCCTCCTCTCCACCCCATCCTCTTTCTCTTCCCTTCCTTTTCTTCAAAACAAAGAATTGGGAGGTAGTCTCAATGGAATTATATAATTTGAAATGACAGTTAATTTGAGACTCTCAGTCCTTTCTCCTTCAACTTCAAAATCAGAAAATTGGTAAACTTGTTATATTTTTGTTCATTATTAATTAATTAAATTTGTCGTTTCAGGTGTGTAAATAGAAGTTAGACTTGTGACTCATTTACGTTTTCATGACAAGTGTTTAAATGTAATTTGATGTCATAGAGATTTCTTTCAGTACTATCATTGATCTCAAACTAAAATCAGAACAGTCTTTTTTCCATTGGATTGAGCATCTAGGAGATGTTAAGGCTTATGTTCTCTTTCACTCCAGATGTGGATGAATGCTCGGAGAACGTGTGTGCTCAGCTTTGTGTCAATTACCCTGGAGGTTATTCTTGTTACTGTGATGGGAAGAAAGGGTTCAAACTTGCCCAAGATCAGAAGAGTTGCGAGGTACCATTTTGTAATGCTAAACTTCCCATCTCTTTTCTGAAGTAAGAGGTTCAGGTGCTTATTTCTACAGAGCTGAGGTAAATCAGGAAAGTACAGATGTTTTACAAAAATTGCTGTAATTCCTTCTAAGCTATGAATCACAATCTGTTTACGAATTATGGTCATGTAAAGTCATAAACAATTGGGAATAATTAGTGGCTGCATTAAACAAAAGCTGCAGGATCACAGTTCAGAGAGTGTTCATCTATATAGCATGTACATTTGCAGAATACAAAATATATGCTTATTTAAGAAACTTAAGGAGAGCCGAGGTTTTTACACTTCTCTTTGTGAGAGAAAAAAAAAATCTTCCATAGAAACTTTAGTGAAAACATTTCCCAGTGTCTACTTTTCTGTATTCACCCTCTGACAAGTTTGATCTTGCTTTAGGCATGTTAGTAGGCAAGAGTGCTCTTAAAATCTAAGGTGGAAACAACTTTGTCAGACTAGAAAATTTAGAGGGGCTTAATATCAAAGTTCAGAGAGGTTCATTTTATTAATCTGTGTCTCTTAAACTCACTTTTAGTTGCTCAGATTTAACATATAATTGACCCAGATAACTGTTGGGTATAGGTTCTAGTTTTTTCTTTATTGAAATGACTAAGTCAACCTCTGAAGCTATTTTTTTTTTTCTAACTAAGGATCACTTCTTTTTCAGGATCCTTAGTCCAATTCTTGTATCTCTTTTACTTTTTTACAAGTGAAGGTAAAATTTTATATGATTATGAGGTAAACAGTAAAAAGACAAAATCCTTAATTGTAATTTAATCCTTAATTATGATTTAATCATGTGTGTACACATACATCTTTATCATCAAGAAAAAGCTGTATTGTATCCCCTAAAATGTAACATTTAGTATTATGCTACTTACTTGATAAAAGGGTAAGGTAAGATAGTTGGCCTATGTATTAAACTTTGGTTGTACATCACTGAAATGCCATGCTGTGTGAATGTCTATTTTGTAATTTAGTCTCTTATTATTTCAGTATCTGTTGTACTTAATCATCACCACCTACCTCAGAATAGATTTATTAAAGCTCTGAGAGGAAATTAAATGTTATTACTAGATCTAGATTTAATACAGTGGTATGTACGTAATTCCTTCCAAAATAGCCATATATATATATGCCTAAGAATTTATCTAAAGACTTCTCATTTTAATGTTTATTTTTATTTTTAAGAAAAAAAAATACTCGATTTCAGATTTAACAATTCAAAATCACTGTTTGTAGCTTCCTTGGAAACTACGATGATATCTTGTTTATATTTATTCCATTCAGATTTTTCAGTTTTCCCTTTGCTACCTAGATAGCACAATTTTTGCTCAAAAAATTTTTGCTTAATAATGAGTGAGTGAATAAATGAGGTCTTGGTTATTGGTACATTCATTCTCCCACCTATTTCTGACCCCAAATAAAAATAATTTTCAGATATAATTCATGGAAGGTATGACACTTGTGTCAGTTAAATAAGGGATTACATGTTGTAACTAAAAAAGTTGGTGTGTCAGACTGCAATTTACAAAGGAAATATTAAAGACCAAATGAAGCTGCACACATTGAACAGGATTTTAAAACACACGTATTCATGGAGATCCCACTGATGCACTCTTCAAGGAAGTAAAAGATATTGCTTTATTGTTACCAAGGTGTTTTTAATTTATTTTAGTAGATTGCAGAGGATACATTTGATAACACTAGGAACCAGAGAAAGGATGCATAATCTGACAAAAACATCAGGCAGTAAACTATGCATTTTTTTTTGGTTTCTTTTGTTTCCTCCAGGCTGTTCCAGTGTGCCTTCCCTTGGACCTTGACAAAAACTATGAACTACTTTACTTGGCAGAGCATTTCATAGGGGTTGTTTTATATCTAAGATTCCGCTTACCAGATGTCATCAGGTGAGGTACCAATGTCAGTGATAATTTCTAAAGGTTAAGCAGGTTAGGACAGAAGAAGGAAGCAACTGAAAAGGTTTGAAATGTATGAAATTGCATTATAAATCAGATAATTTAGGTATATAATCAATCAGATGACTTGGGTAACCTTAATGTTAATTTGCTCCTTCACAATGAAATTTGCATTCTAGAACCAATTTGGGTTATTCTAGGCTGGCCTTCCCCAGTGATCCCTCATTCTTCCTTTATTAGTGAACACAGATTTACTAAGAAATTGGGAAAGTAGATTTAATGTATATGTTTTTAGTTTTTTAATATGTTTTAAAAACTAAGTAATGAGAAAATATTCCAAGTGTTGCTTTTTTTTAAAATTCATTTCCCTTTATTTATTCATTTTTATTTATGTTTATTAATTTATTTTTTCATTTATTGATTTTGGAGAGGAGGTGAGAGGGAGAGATAGAAACATCAATAAGAGAAAATCGATTGGCCACTTCCTGCATGCCCCCAAATGAGGATCAGGCACACAACCTGGGTATGTGTCCTGACTGGGAATCAAACCGGTGACCTCTTGGTGCATGGGTCAATGCTCAACCACTGAGCAACACCAGCTGGACTTTATTTATTTATTTATTTTTAACTTATCTTTATTGTTGACTGTATTAAAGATGTCCTTATTTTTCCCCCATTGACCTCCTCCTCCCCATCCCCACGCCCCTTCTGCCTTTCCCCACACTGTTGTCTGTGTCCATTGATTATGCATACATACATATAAGTTCTTTGGTTTATTTCTTCCCATCCCCCAACACCCCTTCTCTTTGAGGATTGTCAGTCTATCAACCAATTTGTACTTCTTAATCCTTCACCTTTTTCACCCATTCCCCCAACCCCCTCCCATCTGGCAACCAACAAAATTTCTCTGTATCTATGAGGATGTTTCTGTTCTGCTTCTTCATTTTGTTTGTAGATTGAATTGTCGATAGATATGTATTCATTGCCATTTTGTTTGTTCATATTTTTTTATCTTTTTCTTCAAGAAGACCCTTCAGCATTTCATATAATAAGGGCTTGGTGGTGATGAACTCCTTCAACTTTTTCTTTTCTGGGAAACTCTTTATATGGCCATTGATTCTAAATGACAGCTTTGCAGGATAGAGCAATCTTGGTTGTAGGTTCTTGCATTTCATCACTCTGAATATTTCTTGCCACTCCCTTCTGGCCTGCAAAGTTTCTTTTGAGAAATCAGCTGACAGTCTTATGGGAACTCCCTTGTAGGTAACTAACTGCTTTTCTCTTGCTGCTTTTAAGATTCTCTCTTTGTCTTGAACTTGTGCATTTTGATGATGATGTGTCTTGGTGTGGGCCTCTTGGGGTTCATCTTGTTTGGGACTCTCTGTGCTTCCTGGACTTGTATATCTGTTTCCTTCACCAAGTTAGGGAAGTTTTCTGCCATTATTGTTTCAAATAGGTTTTCGATTTCTTGTTCTCTCTCTTCTCCTTCTGGCACCCCCAAGATGTGAATATTGGCATGCTTGAAGTTGTCCCAGAGGCTCCTTACACTATCCTCATTTTTTGGAATCTTTTTTCTTTTTGCTGTTCTGATTGGGTGTTTTTTACTTTCTTATATTCCAAATCAATGGTTTGCTTCTTGACTTTACCTACTCTACTATTGAATCTGTGTAAATTATTCTTAATTTCAGTTAGTGCCTCCTTTGTTTCTGGCTGGTCCTTTTTTATGCCTTGAGGCCCTCACTAAGTTCACTGAGGTTCTCACTAAGTTCATTGAGCATCTTTATGAGCAGTATTTTGAACTCAGCATCTGTTAGGTTGCTTATCTCCATTTCACTTTGTTCTTTTCCTGGAGTTTTGTTCTGTTCTTTTATTTGGGACCTGTTTCTTTGTCTCCTCATTTTGGCTTCCTCCCTGTGTTTGTTTCTGTGTATTACTTAATGAGAGATGTGGGGCTAGCTGAGACAAGATGCTGCTTGTTTGAAAGAATTTAGGAAAACCTGAAGCAGGATCCAAGACAGGCCAATCCTATGGTAAAGCAACTGGCAACATCTTGGGTGGGCCTGAAAGTGGGGCAGGGCCCTAGGGAATCACCGGGGTGGGGCAAACAGTGTGAGCCAGGTATGGAGTCCCAGATATGGCGGCTGTCTGCCATCCCAGGGAAGGGCTCCCCAAAGGAACAAAGGCCTCTGACAGCACTTCTGTCCAGGACAAAGCCGCCTCTCCAGCCCTCGCTCCAATGCCAAACAACTCTGTTCTTCCCCATATGACTCTGGTGCCTTTCAAGCTGCCTCCCATACTCTAGAGCCTGGAGGGTGCGAGTCCGAGTAAGTCCATGTATGGGCCCTTCAAGAAGAGCTGCCTGGGGCTCCAGCCACCTCAGCCTCAGTTCCCACTGGTTTTTCCAGCCAGAAGTGATGGGGACTTCTCTCTGTGGCACTGGAACCCTGAGCTGGGCTCCTGGTATGGGACAGGGACCCCTCAGTCCTCAGGGAGGACCTTCCCAGCCGAGGTGTCCTTTTAATTTTTATCCGCCACATGTGGGTGTAGGACTAGCCCGACCGCCTCTGCCCCTCCTACCAGTCTTGATGTGGCTGCTGCTTTAATTTAATAGTCATAGGACTTCCATTCAGCTTGATTTCAGGCGGTTTTGAATGATGGTTCTTCTGTCGTTTAGTTGTAACTTTGATGTGGTTGTGGGAGGACGCAGTACCACATTTACCTATGCTGCCATCTTGACCAGAAGTCCTCTGGACTTTATTTTTTTATTAATTTATTGTTGTTACAGATTTTTCTTCTTCCCCCTACCCAGACACCCTGCTTCGTATCCTGCCCCCCTCCAAAAATTGTTGTCTATGTCCATTGGTTACACATACATGCATAACCAACTATTGCTTTTAAATATGGTTATATTCATAATTTAAAAAAATTTTTTTCTTTTATTTGTTTTTAGAGAGAGAAATAAAAACATTGATGAGAGAGAACAGTGATTGGCTGCCTCCATCATGCCCCCCACTGGGGATTTGGCCCACAGCCTGGGCATGTGCCCTGACCAGGAATCGAACCAGAAACCTCTTGGTGCATGGGTCGATGCTCAACCACTGAACCACACCAGCCGGGCTATATTCATAATTATTAAGGAAAATTCATAAGATTGCTTACTTGCAAGTGAAGAAATGCATCACATGATTTTAGGAGATTTTCTGAGTACTTTATCTGCTATTCCTGTACTTAGGGTGACTTTAGGGAGGAAGTAGTTGCTTATGTTTTTGAGTCTGAGTTTCCTTGATCAAATTTTTTCAGTCATACACTATTTGAAAAAAGAAATTGGAGTTTTGTTGGAATAATGTAAAAGAAACATGTTTGAGACTGGTTATAGAGTTCAAATTTTAAACTATTTTAATTAAATATGCATGCAGGTTTAGAATTTAATTTATTATATATATGAGTGATATTTATTAAATATAAAGTCATAGAAATCTTAGCATTAAGAATCATTGAAATTTATTCTGAGGTTCATGGATGTGATTGTGCTCCTTTAACACTCCATTTTCTACTGCAACCTGACTTCCCCTTTAACGTCTCAGAGCAAATAATATTGTCTAATGTGATAGATTGGAGACAACCATTCCTTGCTATGTAAATAATGAGAATGAGAGAGAACAAAATAATTATTGCATACTTTAAGCCATGTTCAGGGGTATTCATTTCTCAGATAATTTACAGTAGCTTGCGCTCTAACAGTGGATCAAATTAGCCAAATAAGTATTTTCCCCAGTATTTATTAATTAATTAATTTAGTTAGTTACTTAGTTTAAGCTTTTTATTGAGGTATAATATATATAAAATGTACCTCTCTGAAATGTACAGCATGATGAATTTTTATGAAATGCTACCTGTGTAACCAACACAAAGAATAGCTAGTGCTTTTCTGGATTTTTTCTTTTTTGCAAATTCCTACAGCTGTTTCCCATGATCAAATACCCTACCCAAATGTTAACAGATTCACTCTCTTTTTTTTTATTTCACTCTACAGTATTTCTGAAAAAGAATGATTTGTTCCCCAGTGTAATGAATCAGTATGCTAATGTACTTTGGAGAGAAAATACGCAGAACACGACTGAATTACTGGTGTAGTGTGATTTTACAGAGACAAAAATTATCTCCATAATAGGATCAAGTTATGGAAGATTCTGCGCATACAAGATTCTGAGCAGATTTAGGTTTTGGGAAGATAACACATGCTTCGCATCAGTAAAATGTGATGATTGTGAAAAAAGAATGAAAGCACTTATTCTAAGCAAAATTCTTTTTCTTATAAAATACTCTGGGTTCAGTGAATTTCTACTACATTGTTATCCACTCAACACACTTGACTTCACTCTTACCTCTTTGGAATATTTTCTTTGTTCCATCTGAGGTAGATCTGTGCCCCGTTGCAGATGGTGCCTCTGTTATCATTACAGTTATGTGTGGGGATGAGGTACAGGGCTCCTTATCTTATTTAGTAATTATTTAAAGTCCTAACTTTTTATTTTATATTATTGTTATTTCAGATGACTAATAGTTATACAACTACTTTTACTATGCCCTGTTTGTCTTTTTTTCAATCATTTTGGTTTGCTGGTTCCTTGGAAACTTTATTGCTGATTCTCATTGAAGTGTCCTATGGGCACTGAATTAATACATGTTATTTTAAAATACAGCATCCTTAAGATTTTTCCTCCCTTGTAATAGCTACATATATGTCCAGAGTCTTAATAGCAACAGGCATTGTCATAGATCTGAAACCCCAAAACATATGGCTAAACTATATCTGTTGTTGTTTTTCTTTTTAAGGTAAAATTGGTATATAACATTATATAAGTTTCAGGTTTACAGTATTATAACTTGATATATGTATATACTACAAAGTGGTCATTACCAAAAGTCGAGTTACTGTCTGTCCTTCACCATACAATTGACCCCTTCACCCTTCTCACCCACCCCCAACCCCATTCTCCTTTGGTACCACCAATCTGTTCTCTGTATCTATGAGTTTGGTTTTGTTTTGTTTTGTTTATTTGTTTGTTTTAGATTCCACATATGAGTGAAATCATGAAGTATTAGTTTTTCTCCATCTGACTTACTTCATCCATTTTTGTCTCAGATGGCACGATTTCATCCTTTTTGTGATTGGGCAGTAGTCCAGTGTGTGTGTGTGTGTGTGTGTGTGTGTGTGTGTGTGTGCGCGCGCGCGCGCGCTCGCTACATTTTTTTTTTTTTATCCATTCGTCTGTCACCTACTTAGGTTTAAATCTTGGCTATTGTAAATAATGCTGCATTGAACATAGGGGTGTATTTATCTTTTCAAATTAATGCTTTGTATTCTTTGAATAAATACCCAACCGTGGAATTGCTGGATCATACGGTAGCTCTAGTCTTAATTTTGAGGAATCTCCTTACTCTTTTTCATAGTAGTGTACCAGATTACATTTCTACCAACAGTGTATGCGAGTTCTCTTTTCTTCACATCTTCTCCAACATTTGTTGTTTCTTGTCTTGTTGATGATAGACATTCTAACAAGCGTGAGATCATATATCATTGTGGTTCTGATTTGCATTTTTCTAATAATTAGTGAAGCTGAACATATTTTCATGTGCCTGTTGGCTATCTGTATGTTGGATGTAAATATCTTCTACAATTCAACAGGTTGCCTTTTCATTTTTTTTGTTTTTAATTTTTTTTTGTTATTGATTTTAGAGAGAGAGAGATAGAAACATAGATGAGAGAGAACACTGACTGGCCGCCTCCTGCATGCCCCCCACTGGGGACTGGGCTCACAACCTGTGCATGTGTCCTGACTGGGAACTGAACTGGCGACCTCCTGATGTATGGGTTGACGCTCAATCACTGAGCCACACTAGCCAAACTGCCTTTTCATTTTGATGATTTTTTTTTTTTGCTTTGTAGAAGCTTTTTACTTTGATATAGTTTTGTTTGTTTTTTTGTGCTTTTGTTTCCATTTCCTTTGGATTCAGATCCATGAAAATATCACTAAGACATATGTCAAGGAGCTTACCTTCTGTATTTCTTCTATGTATTTTATAGTTTCAGGTCTTTAATCCATTTTGATTTAATTTTTGTGTATGGTGTGAGGCAGTGGTCTAGTTTTATTATTTTGCGTGGGACTGTTCAATTTTCCCAACACCACTTACTGAAGAGACTGTTCTTTCTTCATTATATGTCCTTTGTCTTGAATAAGTTGTCTATATATGTGTGGATTTATTTCTGGGCTACCGATTCTGTTCCATTGATTTGTCTGTCTATTTTTATGCCAATATGATACCATTCTGATTACTATAGCTTTGCAGTATAGTTTGAAATAAGGAAGAGTGATACCTGCAGCTCTGTTCTTCTTTCTCAAGCTTGCTTTAGCTACTCAGGATCTTTTGTGGTTCCATATAAATTTTAGAATTGTTTGTTCTAGTTCAGCAAAAAATGGAATTTTAAAAAAATGGGTCTGAGCCCTGGCCAGTTTGGCTCAGCGGTTAGAGCGTCGGCCTGCGGTCCAGAGAGACCCGGGTTCGGTTCCCGCTAAGGGCACGTACCTCGGTTGCAGTTTGTCCCCGGCCCTGGTCGGTCGTGTGGGTGGCAGCCACTCGATGTGTTCCTTTCACGTCGATGTTTCTCTCCCTCTCTCTGTTCCTGTCTCTCCCTCCCACTCTACCTGAACAAAAAATGGAAAAATGTCCTCTGGTGAGGATAAAAAAAAAAAAAAAATGGGTCTGGGGTTTAAGGGAACAGCTCATGGGGACTGAAGGAGTATAGCCCCTGGCTCAGCTGGCCCTGGGGGTACCCAAGCCTGGGGACCTAAGGCCTGGACAGTGCCCTGCAAAAGGGGGTAAAAAGAGAGAGAGAAAAGGAGGGCTGGGGAGAAGGAGAGTTGTAAGCCAGGAAGGTAGAGAGGGAGAGAAGGGGGCAGACAAAGATGGAGAAGAGGGGCTTACAAGAGATGGGAGAGAGACAGAGAGTTCCAGTGGGAGGGAGGGAGGGAGGGGAGCCATGGAGAGAGGGAGAACCAGCCACAGACAGAAAAACAGAGAAAGAAGAGAGAGAATGAGAGAGAAGAAAAGGGAAGAACCAGAGTCTTAGAAAAAGAGAGACACACACACAGGGTGGGGGGTTAGACAGACAGACACAGGGAGTCACTGAGAGACAGAAGGGGTTGGAGAAAGAGGAAAGAAAACAAACCAGCCACAACAAGAGATGGAATGAACAGCCAGGAGGAAGGAAGGAGATAACAAGGGTGGAGGCCAAGGCAACACCAGGAAAAGGTGGGTCCTGGAGGATGGGGGGCATTCAGACCTTCTGACAGCAGAGGGCACTTCGGCCAGAGGATGGAGCATTGGAATTTTGATAGGGATTTCTCTGAATCTGTAGATTGCTTTGGGTAGTATGGATATTTTAATAGTATTAATTTTTCTAATCCATGAACACAAAATATTTTTCCATTTATTTGTGTATTTTTATCTTATTTTATCAGTATCTTATACTTTTCAGTGTATAGGTGTTTCAACTTCTTGGATAAATGAATTTCTAGGTATTTTATTCTTTTTGATGCCATTGTAAATGGTATTGTTTTCTTAATTTCTTTTTCTGATAGTTCAGTATTGGTTATAGAAACACCACAGATTTCTACACATTGATTTTGTGTCCTTGAACTTTGTTGAATTTATTTATTATAACAGTTTTTGGGAGGAGTCTTTAGGGTTTTCTACATATACATGTCATCTGAAAATTGTGAATTTTACTTCTTCCTTTCTGACTTGGATGCATTTTATTTCTTTCTCTAGCCTAATTTCTGTGGTAAGACTTCCAATAGTTTGTTGAATGAAAGTGGCAAGAGTGGGTGTCCTTGTCTTGTTTCTATTCTTGAGGAAAAGCTTTCACTTTTTTCCCATCAAGTGAGTTGTTAGCTGTTGGTATGTCATATGGCCTTTATTATGTTGAGGTTTCTTCCTTCTATACCCCTTTTGTTGAGAGTTTTTACCATAAATGGATGTTGAATTTTGCAAAATATTTTTTCTGCTTCTTTTGGGATGATGTATGGTTTTTCTTCTTCATTTTGTTAATGTGGTGTATCACGTTGATTGATTTGTGGATGTTGGATCATCCTTACATCCCTGGAATAAATTCCACTTGATCATGGTACACGATCCTTTTAATGTATTATTGTATTTGGTTTGCTAATATTAGACTATATCTTTTATATTATATTCTAGTATAATGATTTATGCAATTAGAGTTTGGAAGATCTTTTGAAATCAAGCTAACAGATACATTTTAAAGTTTTGGATTTTACCTTTTTTACCACACATGAAGGCTTAACTATGTTTGCAATCATTCCGGTGCTGAGTGATTCCTTCCTGACACACATGAAATCATAGGGAAAATATGCTTTTTGATGGATAAACCAATCATGAAATTGTAATATCTTTTACTAACCACTTACAGATACAGCCATAAAGGAATCTTAATCAGATTGTGTAGTGAATAAAAGGATGCAGGAGAGATACGATATGCCTAATCTTTGTGCGTGTGCATTAATTCCAACATTTGAGAGGGTGCCCCCAAAACAAATGCCACGAAGATGAGAAATTACCAGAGTATCTGCTCACTGGGAAAAAGGACTCCAAGAAAGCAAGAAAGTTTAATAACTTGATTTTAAACACACATGGAGCCAGAGATAATACATCAATAATCTAATTCTGCCCTTCTCTTTGATTAATTCCAGGGACAGAAACAGTTGACTCTTTCAACCTACTGCTTTTTGCCAGTGCAAGAAAAAGAGAAGAGTGCATCGAGCCTTCCATGCTCTCACTTTAAGCCTCTCTCTGTCCGTTGTTTAGGTTTTCAGCCACATTTGACTTCCGGACATATGATTCAGAAGGTGTTATCCTGTATGCCGAATCTCTTGATCACTCAGCTTGGTTCCTGCTTGCTCTTCGTGGTGGAAAGCTTGAAATTCAGTTTAAGAATGAATATACAACCCAAATTACAACCGGAGGCCAAGTTATTAATGATGGTGTATGGAATATGGTACGTTGTCCAGATTATATAAAGAGTGTTTCCACTTTGACATCGTTTGTATAAAATCAGTAATAATCTAAATGGACTTGGGTTTAATCTGATGTTATATGAAGTATATTCTACGTACTGCAAATCTGTGAAACAGCCCGAGGAAGGATAACCTCACTTAATATTCTTAGGATTTCTCATAATGGAAGCTGTTTCCTGTTATTTGCTTGACTCAGTTTGTCTTTAGCTTCTTACTTTTTTTAGTGTCTGCCACTGGATGAACAGGTCAGGGAATATCAGCTGGCAAAATAGTTTATGCAAAGACAGCACTCGTCAAGGACAGGTACACTGGATAGCCACATTTTTTTTTATTAATTAATTTATTTTTGTTACAGATGTTTCTCTTTTTTCCCCCACTGATTCCCACCTCCCTTTCCCTCCCACCACCTTTTTTTTTTTTAATGAAAGAGTTACACATAGGAACAAATCAAAGTTAATTCAGTTTTATTTATTTTTTTAAATATGTTTTTATTGTTTTTTTTAGGGAGAGAAGAAGGGAGAGTGAGAGAAACATCAATGTGAGAGAGAACCATTGATTGGCTGCCTCCTGCACGCCCCCTACTGGGGATTGAGCCTACAACCTAGGCTTGTGCCCTGACCAGGAATTGAACTGAGACCTCTCAGTCCAAGGGGCAACGCTCAATCCAATGAGCCACACTGGCCAGGCAAGGAAGAATTATTTTCTGCAATAAAATCATTGCGACTTCCAGCATAGCTGAGATCAGCTTTACCTTAAAATGTGGTACCTAAAAGAAACTTTCTTTGCCTATGAGAGCTGATGAGAAGTCCATGTAGCAAAGCCGTGTGAAGTCATTTACCCACCCATGCACTCATATATTCAGTATGCTTTTAGTGAGCACTTTTAAAGTGCTTAAATTCCTGAGTACAAGGCACTAGAACCATGAACAGGTCTTCCTTACTCTTGACCTTAGTACCTCACAGTGTAGTAGCTGATGCTGCCTTATGAATTAGTTGTCCGTATCTGCGTGGGTTTATGGGCTAATGCAATGTAATGTGAAATATGTTACAGTAGTAGGAGTAAAACAGTACAGTTGAGCACAGACGTGGTTCACCAAACAGGGGGCTCTCTGTCCTTTGGCAGTCATAGATTTTGAGCTCCTAACTCTAAAAGAATAGTGTCTGTGCAAGGTTAGATGCAACTGTCAGAGAAATCACTAAAATTCTCTGACTTCTGATGCTCTCGTTAGATGCTTTACTACTATGTCTCTCCTCCTACCTATGTATCTAGAGTAGTTGATGCACATAGCAAAAATATATATTTTACTGCCTAAAGTCTCAAAATAATGTAACTAAAAATCTAATGATTTTTTCAGCAAAAGAGGACAAACGCTTTTCCCCCCAATGAGTTTTTACAAAAGAAAATAGTTGTTTGAAGAAGAATTTTGATAAATATCTAAGTAGAATATATTATGTATAATGAAGAATGTAAATGTTTACCTGTGAGATTAACATCCTGAATTGCAAATAATATTTATTAAAAAAATTTTTATTACACCCTGGCTGGTTTTGTTCAGTGGTTAGAGCATTGGCCCGCAGACCAGAGAGTCCCAGGTTCGGTTCCCGCTAAGGGCATGTACCTTGGTTGCAGTTTGTCCCCGGCCCCTGTTGGGGTTGTGTGGGTGGCAACCACTCGATGTGTCTCTCTCACATTGATGTTTTCCTCTCTTTCTTCCACCCTCTCTCCCTCCCACTCTATCTGAAGATAAATGCAAAAATGTCCTTGAGTGAGGATTAAAAAAAAAAAATTGTTTTTTTATTACCAAAAAAATATGGTGGCAGAAGAATATTTGAGTTTGGGTGGTAGGCACACTGTGCAATATACAGATCTTGCATCATAGAAATCTATACCTGAAACCTATATGATTCTATTAACCAACGTCACACCATAAATTTAATAATAAAAAAGGAAAACAGAAGGGAAATGTTTAAAAACAAATTAAAACTGTCCACGAATCATTCTGTTGAAGGCAAGATTCAGGGCTGGATGGAAGGCAGCAATTCAGTTCTATACATTTTGTCTCCTATGTTTATGATCCTTGAAAAAAAAAAAAAAAACTATTTAGTGTATACCCCTGATTCAATTAAAACATTCAATTCCCTGGCCAGTGTGGCTTGGTAGATTGAATGTAGCCCCATGGACTGAGAGATCCTGGTTGATTCCCTGTCAGGGCACATGTTCAGGTTTCAGGCTTGCTCCCCAGTAGGGGGTGTGCAGGAAGCAGCCGATCGATGTTTCTCTCTCAAATAGATGTTTCTATCTCTCTCTCCCTTCTTTTCTCTCTAAAAAGTCAATAAAAACATATTTAAAAAAACATTTAAACTAAAATCTCCCTTTTAAAACAATGCAATTTTATATAAAAATAAAATTTAAGAACTATAAACAAGTCATACAGAAACTTTAATTTGGTAATAAATTAGTGCTGGTAGTTTTTCTTAAATTCTTAAGTCAATATTTTAACAATTAATGAATTTCTCCCTGACATATAAATAATACTTCTTTTTAATTCCATATATTTTGTTTTAAAAAAATTACTACATGATATTTTATCAGCTTATAATTTTGATGGTTTATTAATAAATTATACTGTTTCAAACAAATTTATGCAGCACAGACATTATTTGAAATAAATATTTTAAGAGTATTCACTATATAACAATTGTTTCACTGATTTTAAATTATTTAAAATTTTAAATAAAATACTTTAAAAATAAATTAAAATTAAAATTTATGACATAATTATTTAATAATTCAGATAAATTGAATAGAATGTTTAATTATTAAGTACTTAGGATAGTTATAACCCATAGAATAAAGATTGACTCTTTTTTTTTTTTTTTTTTTTTATCCTCACCTGAGGATATTTTTCCATTTTTTGTACAGGGAGAGAGAGAGGAAGGGAGAGAGAGAGAGAAACATCGACGTGAAGGAACACATCGAGTGGCTGCCACCCGCACGACCAACCAGGGCCGGGGACAAAGTGCAACCGAAGTACGTGCCCTTAGCGGGAACCGAACCCGGGACTCTCCGGACCGCAGGCCGACGCTCCAACCGCTGAGCCAAACCAGCCAGGGCAAGATTGACTCTTTAGAAGTGATTATTATAGCTTATATTTGGGTTTAATCCTAATATTGGTTGGAAATCTATCATTTGTATCATGATTTCATTCATTCAGAAAAATATTTATTGAGCACTTTATGTGCTATTCCTTCTTCTAGGTGGTGAGGATACAACAGTGAGTAAAACAGCCCTGGCCGGTTTGGCTCAGCGGTTGGAGCGTTGGCCTGCGGTCCAGAGACCCGTGTTCAGTTCCCACTAAGGGCACGTGTAGTTTGTCCCGGCCCTGGTTGGGTTGTGCGGATGGCAGCCACTCAATGTGTCCCCTTCACATCGATGTTTCTTTCTCTTTCTCTCTCTCTTCCTCTCTCTCCCTCCCACTCTATCTGAACACAAAACAAAAAAATGTCCTCAGGCGAGGATGAAAAAACAAACAAACAAAAAAGAACAGTGAATAAAACAAAGTCACTGCTCTTTCATTCTAGTGGTGAGATGAAAACCACAAATATATGAACAAATAGACATGTCAGATAGTGATAAATTCTATGAGGAAGAAGAAAAGGCCAGTCAATAGAGAGTGATGATGGTGAGTGTGCAAATGGAATCAGGAAAGCTATCTCAGATGAGATTACACCTGACCAAAGACTTGAGGACACAAGTCATGAGAAGTATGTGGGGAAAGATGATTCTGTGCCATGTGAACAGCAACTACAGAGCCCTAGGCAAGAGGATGTGTTTGAGGAACAGCACAGAGGTCAGTGTGGATGCAGTGCAGTGAGACAGGAAGAGAGTACATAGAAAATGAGGTCAGAAATGTGATCTGGCATAACATCATGTAGGGCCTCGGGGAACATACTAAGGACTTGGCTTTTATGCTAAGTAGAAAGATTTTGGATGATTCTGAGACATAACATAATCTAATTTGCATTTTAAAAGAAAACCCTGGTCAGGACCTCATGGCTTTGTGAAAACTACACAGTAGAGACTAAGGGTAGAACAGGACATGGGGTGAGGAGCCCACTGCAAGAACTCAGTAGAGACAAGATGGCAACTTTGGCTAGAGTGTTGATGGTGTGGGAAGTGACCAGATTCTGGATATATTTTTAAAGTCAAGCCTTCAAGGTAGATATAAACTTTTGAATATTCAGCATAAAGAGAGGTTTAAAGGCCATGAAATTGGGTATAAACTCTTTTATCCAATGCCCAAATATTTCCAATGTCCCTTTACTCTCCTGTAATGAAATATATCAATAATGTAAGCTACCTTCATATATCCCTAAAAGAAACCAATAGAATGTTTATGATATAAATGAAGGAAAGTAATTTATAAGAAACAATATATTTCAGTATATAAATGTTCAGGTATAAGTATAATGCTTGTCAAATCTTGCTCCTCTACATAGAATTACATGAAAGCTACAAATTAAGACTTATGCTGGGGTATTGTATTGGCAACTCAAATACTGTAAGTGTATAAATGGGGTTGCCATCATGAATAGTAAGTAACTTTCAAAAATGGTTAAAAACTCTTGGTAAAGATCCAAACAAAATAAATATCAATCTATCCTTGGTTTACAAGACCGTGACATTCTGAAAAATTTAGAAATGCTAAAATAGTACAGTGCATATTTTGTGTTTATATATGCATAACTCAGATAATTATAAGCATGAGTATACCCTACATGAGTATCCAGTAGGAATATTTTTAAATTTATTTTTAATATATTTTTATTGATTTTTTTAGAGAGAAAGGAAGAGAGAGAGATAGAAACATAGATGTGAGAGAGAAACATCAATTGGCTGCTTCCTGCACGCCCCCTACTGGGGATCAAGGCTGCAACCCCAGGCATGTGCCCTGCCTGGGAATTGAACCAGGACCTCTCAATCCATGGGACAATGTTCAATCCATTGAGCCACGCCAGCTGGGCTCCAGTAGGGATATTTAGAAGGTTTGCAGCATATTGGATATATTATTTATTTTGTACAACTATCCTGCATATTACAGTGTCAGGGTACTTCCTACTAATTATGATAACTAAAAGTACCTCACCCCAAATTTTCCAAATGCCCTGGATTGGGCCAGTAGAGTTCTCATTTAGAAATATTTGCATGGCTAAAAGGAAAAGGTCAGGAGGCTGAGTTCTGGGGCCTATTATAGAGGTTGAGAAGAAGAGGAGGATCTAACAAGGAGATTTAGAAGGAATGGTAAGAAGGTAGGAGAACCAAGCTAAATTGAGGTCCTGAAGGCTATTGGGAATGTCCTTTAAGGAGGGAATAGTCATTAGCAAAATGACATGATAGGCTATGTAAGGACAGAGTGCACACCACCTAAATCTGTAAAGGTTGCCAAATTTATTTTACTTTAGAGCACAGTTTTTCTCTTCTTGTAGTGGTCTTTAATATGTCTATTGTTTGGCTTCCATTTGTGATTAGTAAATGAATAATTTGCAAATTGAGTGCTACAGTTTTACATGAAATTGCAACAATGGTTCTTTGAGTTACCTTTATAGGAGAATTTTTTTTATTATTTGCCATCACTGTTAACTTTTATTTTAAGACTCAAATTACTGTCAAAATTGGGGGGAAAAAAAGTTAAATTTCACATATTGTGCTTCCTAATGATCTCAATTACTTTTGAATTTTGAAATAAAATATAATTTGTGTGTAATAACCAGAATGCTGGATGTACTGATTTCTCTTAATTTATATAAAGAGTTTATTTACATTGTTGATTCTATATGTCTACTATCAGACAGTTGCCAAGTAAGAACACTTAAAAGTTTTTTAAGATTTTGTAAAGTGCCCTGGCCGGTTTGGCTCAGTGGTTAGAGCGTCCGCCTGCGGTCCAGAGAGACCCAGGTTCAGTTCCCGCTAAGGGCATGTACCTCGGTTGCAGTTTGTCCCCGGCCCTGGTTGAGTCGTGTAGGTGGCAGCCACTCAGTGTGTCCCTTTCACATCGATATTTCTCTCTCTCTCTCTCTTCCTCTCTCTCCCTCCCACTCTATCTGAACAAAAAATGAGAAAAATGTCCTCGGATGAGGATTAAAAAAAAAAAGATTTTGTAAAGTGACTCACTTTTTATAAAACTGTCCATTTTATGGCCTACTGGTTTAAAGGACACATTATAATTGGATGTTTAAATTTAAGATATATTGATTTAAAAATTTTAAATATAGTCATTTAATTTTCAGTCAAGTACTACTCCTTTAAAACACATATTTATCACTTATATAATCATTTGAGATTTCAAATGGATTGGAACACATTAATAATTACATTAAGCCCTGGCCGGTTAGGCTCAGCGGTTAGAGCGTCGGCCTGTGGTCCTGAGAGACCAGGGTTCGGTTCCCGCTAAGGGCATGCACGTCAGTTGCAGTTTGTCCCCGGCTCTGGTCAGTCGTGCGGGTGGCAGCCACTCGATGTGTTTCTTTCACATCGATGTTTCTCTCTCTCTCTCTGTTCCTCTCTCTCCCTCCCACTCTACATGAACAAAAAATGGAAAAATGTCCTCGGGTGAGGATAATAAAAAAATAAAAATAATTACATTAAAATGATTACTTTGCAAAGTACTGGAATTTGGCATAATAACAGGATTTTTCAAACTTAGTATTTAAAATGGCATGCAACAATATTCGGTTGTTTGATAATCTCTGTCTTTTTAATTGTAGGTCTCTGTGGAAGAATTAGAACAAAGTATTAGTGTGAAAATAGCTAAAGAAGCTGTAATGGATATAAATAAACCCAAAAGCCTTTTTAAGGCCACAAATGGATTTGTCGAAACCAAAGTATACTTTGCAGGATTACCTCGGAAACTGGAGAATACACTCATTAAACCGGTAATGATCCAAGCTTATATCACTCATCTTGGATGAATTCCTTTTGTCTGTTTAATAGATTGAAGATATTACAAAAATCAAGAGAAGTTATTTTATTGAGCAGACCAACTGTGACAACTTGAATTGAACATGGAAAAATAACATTAGTGGCACTTGAAACTACATTAAGGAAATAAGAAAATGAGTGTTGTGGTTTTTATCCCATCAGCCCTCCAGCATGACTCATGGAGGAATGGAAAATTGTAAATTCTTAAGCCTCAATTCACTGCTAACATTATAGTAGTCCATAGTTAGCCATTACACATATAAGTACATATATATGAATAGAAAAAATATTATTTTGTAAAGTCAGTCAAAGAGCTTCCTTAGGTCTATTGTAAGAGTCAATTTGGGAGATAAGAATGGCACATAAGGTGGAACTTTTTTTATTTTTAAGAAATCTTTACTGGGAGTATAACTGCAGCCTGTCCTAAAGTGGTTACATACAGTAGATGGTTTTCTAAACATGATGTTTGTCAAATAACTGTGGGATATGTTTCATGAAGGAGACTAATCCGTGTCCTTGAAGAGTTTTAAATATTTCGTCTGAAATTGTGGATCTGCCAATTGCACCTGCTGGTTTAACTTAAATGTTTACTATTTTATACCTATCTTTCACTCATGGCAATTCAATGAATTGCCTTAACTTGAAAGATTTCTGTGCTATGATATAAAACCTGTATTAGTTAACCCATGTCAAAGTGAATATACCTGTTCTTTGAAGTTGATAAATTGAGACATTTTAACAGTAAAATAAATTATTCAAAAAGAATCAACTATTTATGACATGTCTTCAGTCCAACTGGATGCCATGGTGAGGCCAAAGAAGGGAAACACCTTAGTTCCTCAAGAAGCTTTGATTCTGATGGCAAGACAAACCTGTGTGGTAAATGCAATGAAAGAAAAATAGATAAGTTACCCCTGAATGGCACAGAAGAGGCAGGTTGGGCTTGAGGTGTTAAAAATTATTAGGATCTTAGTGGAGGCCTGTGATGGCATAAATGCATCTTTACTGGAAAAGACTATCCATCCGAAGAACACTTTGAAAAGAAAATTTTAGATAAAATTCAAAATATTAAAAATATTTTTTAAATGCCATCAAAGAAAAGGTTTTCTCTCTAAATGAAAACCTGTATCTATCATTAGTTAGTTAAGCCACTGTCAGGCTGACTTACTAGTTAAAAATGCACTCCTTGACATGTATTCTATTTTGTTAGATTAATCCTCGTCTAGATGGATGTATACGAGGCTGGAATTTGATGAATCAAGGAGCTTCAAGAGTAGAGGATATTATTCAAGAAAAACAAAATAAGCATTGTTTTACCACTGTGGAGAAGGGTTCCTACTATCCTGGTTCTGGAGTTGCTCAATTTAGCATAGATTATAGTAAGTGATTTTCCATTTCATCTCTCTTTTCTCATTAATGATTAATTTATTCATTGACAAACAGCAGTAATTTCTTCAGTAAACATGATGTGTACCTACTTTGTGCTAGGCATAGTGTTAGGCTTATTCACATTGTTATATACTTTTAATAAAATTTTCCCAGCATATTGGGAAAAATTAGTAGAATATACCTATGTTATTATTTAAAGATTATTGACACATAGCCTGATTAATTTGGGGTAACTTAAATGGAAGGTTCAACAATTTCTCAGTTGTATTGAGTCTACTGATGAATGCATTAAAAAGATTCGTCTTCATTTCTAACATTTCCATTTGATCCTTTCTTAAAATTTCCACCTCTCTCACAGAATTTCTTATCAGTTCATACATGTTGTCTTCCTTTTTTACAAAAGCCTTCAACATATTCATCATAATTTTTTTTTATTAATTTATTTTTGTTACAGATGTTCCTCCTTTTTACCCCCATTGACACCCTCCTCCCCACCCCATCCCCAGCTTTGTTGTCTATGTTCATCAGTTATGCATACATGTATATAAGTTCTGTGGTTTATCTCTTCCCTCCCCCCACCACCCCCTCTTCTGAGGGTTGTCAATCTGTACCCTACTTCCATGTCTCTGGGTCTACCCTGTTCTTAAGACTGTTATGTTCATTATATTCCACAAATAAGTGAGATCATGTGATATTTGTCTTTCTCTGCTTAGCTTGTTTCGCTTAGGATTATACTCTCCAGGTCCCTCCATGTCGTCTCAAAGGATAAGAGATCTTTCTTTCTTACAGCTGCATAGTACTCCATTATGTATATGTACCACAGCTTTTTTATTCACTTGTCTACTTATGGACACTTGGGCTGTTTTTAGATCTTAGCTATTGTAAATAGTGCTGCTACAAACATGGGGGTACATATATTCTTTCTGATTGGTGTTTCAGGCTTCTTAGGGTATATTCCTAGAAGTGGGATCACTGGGTCAAATGGCAGTTTAATTTTTAACTTTTTGAGGTAACACCATACTGTTTTCCATAGTGTCTGCACCAGTCTGCATTCCCACCAGCGGTGTACTAGGGTCCCCTTTTCTCCACACTTTCGCCAGCACTTGTTGTTTGATGATTTGTTGATGGTGGCCATTCTGACAGGTGTGAAGTGATCATAATTTTTAAATATTCCCTGTCTGATAGTTCCAATATCTGTGTCATAATTTAACCTAAGTCTGATTAGGTTAATTAGGTGGATGTATTGTTTTGGGTTTTTTTTCTTCCTTCTGTATCACACAATTTTTGTTTTTAAGGTGGGCATCTTATGTAGAACAGTAGAGACTGAGATAAATAATATTTAGATCTGGAAATGAGCATACCTCTGCTTTTGCTGGGACCTTAATGAGTGATGTTGAATCAATCTACTCAAGAGTTGAGTGGCTTAGGTTTTGTTTCTGTGACTACTCTTCAAATTCCTTTAATATTATTTTGTGCTTAGGGTAGTGGCTTATTTGCCAGAGGGTTTTTCTTAATAGCTAATCCATCCTAAGGATTAGGTGTTCTCTTTATGATATGCATCAGGAAAGTGTTTTTCCATGGTCTTGTCTTGCCCAGCAAAGGGTTATTACATGTTCCTTGACACCTGCTAGCATATTAGAGGGGTTTGGGGCTCAGGGGCCGTGAGGGAGAGCATTCTCTGTGGTTCACATTCAATCTTAGGTGAGTATTGTTTTCCTGGGCCTCGGGGTTGTATGTACTTTTCATCCTCTCGCTCACACCAGTAGGGGCGGTGTCTAATGATTAGAATTCAAGGTGTTTTTTGTTCCTCATGGTAGATCATCTTTGTTGTTGTTTGTTTTGTTTTTTCTTGTTTCCTTTCCCTAATCTTTAGGTACAATGGTCTTCACATGTGTCCCAGTGGTGACAGGTTTGCAACCTTTCCCCCACACCTTAAGGCTTTTGTCATAGAGAAGAGACAGAGAAGGATCTGGGTGGGACTTTGCGCCTTTCCTGCTGGTTGCTCCTCTTTACAGGGCTGAACTAGGAAGAAGGCACTTTTTAATCTCTCTCTGCTCCCAGTTTTTGTCTTGAGCACTCAGTAAAGTTTGTATAGAAAACCCATGAATGAGTATGAATTTCTCATGTATCTGTAATTCCCACAGCTTCTATATCATACCAGCTGCCACTGGGACTTTAGCAAGTTGTTAAAATTTTTACCTAAATTCTTCTTACCAAATTATATAGTATCTCATGTCTGCCTTGAGTGAGTACTCTCATCCTCGCCCTCCTTGGAAGTACCTGTCTTTCTTTTAGGTTGTAGTTAGTTGTTCTGCAATCTTAGCTCTTTGATAGCCCAAGAAAAGTTGTGCTAATGTAGATAATTGGGCTCTTGATGTTGTAAGGGCTGGAGCTGTGCTCTTTCCAGTGTTCTCAGCTAAGTGGACGTGCTGGACTGATCCCAGGTTTTCACCTTTGCAAACAATACTTCCATGAATATTCTTGGACATACATCATTCTACCCTTATATAATTAATTCTGTAGGAGAGATTCTCAGATTATTTCTCTCAATCTGAATTATGCAAATGTATAATTCTTACTGTTTGATCAGATTCTCTTCCAAAGATGTTTTGTCAATTTATACTTCTACCAATAGGATAAATATGTTTATGCTTGAGGTTTTTCAGTCAGAGTCAAAAAATTAAATCTTGTACATAGTTTTAAATAGTATTATCTCAATTTCTACTAAAGTTGAATATCTCTTCATATGCTATATCTTAATTATTTTATTGGGTTCTTTGTCTTTTTCTGTCTTAGGAGTTCATTATTTGAGCTACTAAGAGTTTGCATTATAATTTTTCCTGGTATTAATCTGATATCTCTGCTTTAAGAAAAAATTGTATTTTAACTGTGTTTATTTGCAGCCTAAAAAACACTTACTACAGTTTTAAGGAAGAACCTCATACCAGTACTTTGAGTTTTTCTAACAAATTTATGCAGTTTTTTTTTCAGCCTTTTATTTTATTATTTATTTATTTATTCATTTTTATTTAATTAATGAATTAATTTTTTTGTTACAGATGTTTCTCCTTTTTTACCCCACTGGCACCCCCCTCCCCACCCCACCTCCACCCTGTCCCGGCTTTGTTGTCTATGTCTATTGGTTATGTATACATTATGCAGTGTTTTTTGTTTGCTTGTTTTCTTTTTTGTTTGTTTGTTTTTTATCCTCACCCGAGGCCATTATTTTATTTTTTGTTCAGATAGAGTGGGAGGGAGAGAGAGAGAGAGAAACATCGATGTGAAAGGGACACATCGAGTGGCTGCCTCCCTCCTGCACAACCCAGCCAGGGCTGAGGACAAACTTATGCAGTGTTTTTAACTTTTACTTCTGTTCTGTAAGTGAAAGATTTTTAAAAAACATGTTTAAATTGGGTTGGTGACTGAATATATAGGAAAATAATTGGCCCACAATTTGTTGAAAGAAAAAAAAAATCTCAGAAAAGAAAATGAAAATAAGAGTTATTCTGTATCTGAAAAAATACTTTAATAAGGAATTACTTCTTTTTATGGGAAACTTGAAAGAGACCTACTTTAACATTAATAGTTAATGTTATATTATAATTTCTGTGCATTTGCACATTCATTTTAGTTTACTTTGTTGATACCTTATAATAAATTTACTTCAAAATGATTATATATAATTTTTTTTTTTCTCTCTTGGATGGGAATTAGAGGAGAATAAGGAAAAAATTTAATAGCATTAGATGTGGCTAAGTGGAGGAACATCTTATCAAAAGAAAATTATTTTCTTCTGTTCACCCTTTCAAAGCTTCTAAGTGGTATTTGAGTTATTGTTACATATTACTTTATATTACATAAGGAAGATTTCATTCAGATTGTGAGCTAATATTTTTAGGAATCAAACTATTTTGGAAACACATCAATTCAACAAATGTGTGTTGAGTGACATCTGTGGAAAACAAAGTGATAGTACAGACATGTAGAGAGCTTGGATTCCAGTGTGGTAGACAATTAACCTACTAATTAGGAAAAAGAATGTTAGGCATTATGGCAAGAGAATCACAGAGAAGAGTTTCTATTCAAATGTCAAAATTAGCTGTTAACTTAAGAGTATTTCTCTACTATTAAACTAGCCAAATCCCCCATGCATAGAAATCATCTTTTTTCTTTCTACTGCTCTAACCTCACGTCTTTGTGGATGAGAAGTGGTAGGGTTGTGATGGCAGCTATATCCAAATTTTCCCTCAGAAATAGTACATAAAGTTGTTAAACTGCCTTCTAAATGTGTACGTTAAAATACGACCACTCTGAGACGTGTGCATTGGTGGAGACGCAGAGCAGGAGGAGGAGCTGTTACAGAGCAAACGGGGAAAAGTCACAATAGACTACATGCCACAGTCCAAAATTCTGTTCTGGGAAGAACAGAAAGAGGGGGATCATTTATGGGTCGCTTGCCTGCATTAATTTGTTTCTTGTGTTTTGTTTTGCCTAAGTTTTATAGATCATTGAGCAGGAAGAACTAAAATCTCTAGTATTAACACCAAATGGCTTTCAGTATTAAGAAGATTGTAACAATTCTTTCTGCTGTGCTTTGATTCTAATTTTGTTGTTTTGTTTAAACAGATAATATATCGAATTCTGAGGCATGGCATATAAATGTGTCTTTGAATATTCGCCCATCCACGGGCACTGGTGTTATGTTTGCCTTGGTTTCAGGTGACACAGTGCCCTTTGCCTTGTCCTTGGTCGACTCCTCCTCTGAAAATCTTCAGGTATCTGATTCTAACCCTTTATGATCCTTGTCTTTTGTGTTTTTTTTTTTTTTTTGTAATCTGTAAAATGGATATAATGGCAGTATTTTTCTCAAAGTGCTATTTTGAATATTAAATGAGATAACTGATGTAATATATTTGATATAATCTCTAGTACATAATTAAAGACTCAGTAAATGTCCACTATTGTTACTTTTTTTTGCTGGCTTAATCCCAAGGTCTGAACCAACAAGTAAAGGTGAAAAACTGAAAAGCTTTATTACATCTGTAGCTAAGACTAGATAGACTCATACACAGGCTGCTTGGAGTCTTCCTGGCGTACAGGGACCCTCCCTTAGACAGAACCCACGAGGAATCATGGGAATCAGTCTGTACCAGCACATAGAAGTGAGTCTGCCTGCAGCCTGCTCTCAGCTATTCAGTGCCTAATTATAATGTTTATGCTTTCTGGCACACTTAATCTTTTCTCCCTGAGTAAATTTGGAAAGATATGTATAAACTAAAGCCAGTTCATGTGGCTTCTTGCTGGCAACTCTGATTTGAAATTAGGAGGAAAAACTCTTGTTTCAAAGGAAACTTGAGAGTTATCAGAAGATCTGTAATATTCAGCTTTCTAATAGAGACTAAGAGCTCTGCCCATGTGTCATCCGTTGTGGATTCCAACAAGTTACAGCAAGAAGCTTGCATTGGTGCCAAAGTTAGCCTGGATGCTCTCTGTAGCTTTTAGAAGAGATGTAATTGAATTTGCCTGTAGTAATAAAAAGGGTGCTGTTTGCAACTTAAAAGATGACTTGGAGGAGTTCCTGATGCTTAACCATAAGCAACCTAAAAGATCCTGCTGAGTTTTTATCTCCAATCTTATCCACATTTTTCACCATAGGAGCTTACTACACTGGGATTTCAGATTTATGTTTGTTTGTTTTATTAAACAAAATGGAATTCCTTTCTTTAACACAACATTAATGCAGTGGAGGTTAACTCCTGCCAGCCAAATCTTTGATATTTATTTTATTTCTTTGTATTTTTCTCCATGGTCCCGTTTTTGTATGTCAGGTTGCTTTCTTAGGATCTGTGTACATTGTTTTATAACATTATTCCACACACTACTGATTATTCTGGAACATCCTCTCAGCTGATCATCTTTGAGTCTTAATGAATTCAGGGATATGGAATGCATAACACAGTAACAGATTTTCTCGAATAACTTGTATTTGAGTTGTATAGTCTTTGTTTTTTTTTTGTTTGTTTGTTTTTTATTAATTTATTTTTGTTACAGATGTTCCTCCTTTTTTCCCCATTGACACCCTCCTCCCCATCCCCCCACCCCATCCCCGGCTTTGTTGTCCGTATCCATTGGTTATACGTACATGCATATAAGTTCTGTGGTTTATCTCTTCCCACCCCCAACCACCCCCTCTTCTGAGGGTTGTCAGTCTGTACCCTACTTCCCCGTCTCTGGGTCTACCCTATTCCTCAGACTGTTATGTTTATTATATTCCACATTAGATGTATAGACTTAACAGAGGTATCTTGCATTCTTGAGTAAACGCTTCAGACTGTCCTTCTACCATCTGGGAAGCATGACAACACTGCATCTCCCTAATTTTGATTTTATTTTCTCTTACGTTTCACATTTCCTCTATACGCATATAAGCTATATGCACAGATTGCTGTCAACAAGTTGAGTAACTTTGTGTATCAGTAGTTTGAAAAGTTCAGCAAAATAAATACATTTTCTCTTTTGAGACGCTTCTGATAAATACTCTGTAACATACTGCTGGCAATTCCTGGTTTTGCTGTCTCCGAGTTTTCTCATACACGTCCCAAGTCTCCAGGGTTGCTTGGGTGGCACAAAATCCTGTTAGTCTTGCTGGCATGTGCTCACTAAAGCACTTTCAATTTCCCAAGTCTTTTTCCCAACAAATAGTGATTCAACTTCTTTCTTTTTTATATGTTAGTTTTGAGGTTAGGAAGGCTCATGAACAGAAAAAATATTGCTTATGACACTACTTGAGGTTCCTGTTGTTGGTATCACAGCTGTGTTGGTTTATTGAATTTTCAGAAGCCACCATACAGTTACATCTTAATTAAACCCGAAGTTTATAAAACTAACATATAGTCTAAAATTATGATTATTATAATAACTGGTAATTTTTTTAATTTAAACTTGGAGGCTCTATCATACATTGTTTTCTCATTGAAATTCAGTTTTTGATTTCAAGAATCCTAAGTCACTCCTAAGTGGTATTACCATCAGTACTTGCTCATACTGAGTCTGCCTTTTCTTCAGGATATCCTGGTATCGGTTGAAAATACGGTAATATCCCGGATAGAGGCCTTAGGTCTGTGTTCCAATCAGCAATCCCATCTGGAATTCAGAATCAACAGAACAAGTCTGGAGCTGTGGACTCCACTCAAATATGACATCATCTACGCTGAAGATCTTCAAAGACAATTTGGCATCTTGGACAAAGCAATAAAAGGAACAGTAGCCACTTACCTGGGTGGCCTTCCAGGTATCTGCTTATTTATTCTTCAGTTTTAAAAAGTATATTTTTAATAAAATTGATAGTATTTGAAATATGTAATTTTAGTAAAAGGGCATCAGAGGGGAAGAAAAAATTCTAGTATCCAGTATTCTATTCTTGAGGGTTTGTAGTGACATTTTTTAAAAATGTGAACTGAAACTAACCAAATTATGCCTCATTTAACTATCTTTGCCAAAAAGAATTTATTGTTTCATTTTATCCTCACATAGTCTTGTGAATTCAGTATTTATTCTTCAATTCATCCATTCCTCACCCAATATTTTTTAAGACTCTACATCCTAGGCATTAGGAATACAGTAATAAACAAGTAGATGTGATCCCTGCTATTACGGCTTTTACAATCTCATGGCAGAGGCAGGCATTATACTAGTGATTAGGAAAATGTTTTAAAAATTAAAATTGTTATAACGTCCATGAAGAAAAAATATGGGTTGCTTTTAGAGCCTGAAAATGGGAATTATTCTGGTTTTAGAGGCCAGACACAAGCTTTCTGAAGAAGAGATTAAGATATAAATCTGATATTTTTAAAAATTTATTTTTTGTTGAATTTATTGAGGTGACATTGGTTAATCAAATTATATAGGTTTTAGGTGTATAATTCTATGAACACACCATCTGTATATTGTATTGTGTTCACCACCCCAAGTCACATCTCCTTCCATCACCATTTATCCCTCCTTTACCCTCCTTCTACCTCCCCCAAGATATAAATCTGATATTTGAAGGATTTAGTGAATTTAACCAGGTGGTGGGGGTGGGGATTGGCATTAATATGCAAGTAAAATAGTCTGTGTGCTGGAAGAATGGGAAGGGGTTGACGTGCTTGAGGAATATATAGATGAGTATGGTGAAAGCATATTGAGCAGAGAGGATGAGGCTCTGAATGGGGTGGTGGTGAGGGGGCGGATTAGGAGGTTTGTAGACCTGGCTCAGGGTCCTGGGTCTTATTTTAAGAGCTATGAAAATTATTAAAAAGCTTTAGGCAAGGAAGTTGTATATCATCAATATAGCACCCAGTGTAATGGATGGAGGTGGACAGATGGGAGACAGTAATGGACAGGATGAGCTGGGGCAGTATGAAGAGGCAGTATTAATAACAGCAGTGACAACTATGCTACCATCAGTTGGTGCATAATAAACAGTCTGGGAAGTGTTTAGAGTGCTTCAAATAGATACACTCATCGGATTTTCAAAATAGTACTGTGAGGTAGGTACTATCATTATCTGCATTGTACAGATGAGGAAGGTGCTGAACTAGGGTCATGGTGGTTGAGATGGAATACAGTGAATAGATTGGAGATGTGTAACAGAAACAAAAGTGATAGGCTTAATGATTGAAAGGCAGGTACAGGATCTCCTAGGTATCCGGCGTGAGAAATAGCATGGGTAGAGATTTCACATCAAGATGGGGAAAACTGGAGGAAAAGCAGGCTCATCTTTAACTTAACAGTGAAAAATATGAGCCTGAACAGTGTGGCTCAGTGGTTGAGCATCACCCATGAACCAAAGAGGTGGCCCGTTCGATTCCCGGTCAAGGCACATGCCCAGGTTGTGGGCCAAATCTCCATTGGGGGGCATGCAGGAGGCAGCCAATCAATGTTCTCTTTCATCGATGTTTCTCTCTCTCGCTCCCTCTCCCTTCCTCTCTCTCTAAAAATCAATAACAGCAAAAACAACAACAAAAAAATAGAAAATATGAAATTGGCATAAATATTTTACTTTAAATGGCCAAAAAAAATTGAGGCAGAAAGTTCTTCAGAAAAATTTTCAAATAATTTTGCAGGTTATTCTTATGGGGAGAATTCTGAGTTTGACGTCTGGACTTAGAGCAACCCTCACTGTTTTACTTAAACTGATCAGGGTCTTCATTTCTAAAGTATGGAATTTATATCTGGGTTTTAGGAAATAGAATAAATAGGCTCTAGCAATTTAGATAGATAGATAGATAGATAGATAGATAGATAGATAGATAGATAGATGATAGATAGATAGATATAGATAGATAGATAGATAAAGATAGTTAAGTAAGTTGGTTGATTATTAGGAAGTTAGTTAAGTTAGCATGGTTAATTTTTAAGAATTATAGTTCAAATGAATAATGGATTTCTACATTGAAATCTACCTACTACCTTATTCATAAATTATTTTAATGCAATTTTTAGGAAATCAAACAAAGAGTCCAAAAGAAGTAAAAATATGAAAATTTCAGTGGTTTCAGCACTTTGGCAAGAACATTGAAGACTGGCAAGATGAGTTTAGAAAAAGAGTGAGGAAAAATTAAGGGAACTGAAAATGGAGATATTAAGAGTGTAAACTGTGGGATGCGTAAATTATAATTGTTATGCAAGATAGGCATGTTAAATCGCATGTTGTGAATTAAAAATCAGGGAAAATTGATGATCCTGAGGTGTTTTTTTTTTTGATAATAATGGCATAATCTATAGTGCTTAGCCAGACTTGAAAGGGTTTCTTAATAAATGCTATTAAGCCCACAGAAAAGTGTATTGGCAAGTTAGAGGTGGAAAATTTAAAGTATATATGTTTTTGCATAAGGTACTGAGGAATAAGAATAAGGACTGAGAATACATATTGGGAATTAAGATTCATGGAGAGGAGATGCCAAAAAAGAGAAAGCAACAAAGAGATGGATGTTTCTAAGATGAATCATAGTTCTTAAGAATCCAAGGGTGTTACCTAAGTATTAAGTTTGATAAAGAGAGTGAAAGTGGAGAAAGGCCCAAAGGCCATAAACTATTCACTGAAGCATCATTAAAATTGTTATTTTTTTAAACTGAACATTACATTAAAGTGAATTCCCTATCATGACCTGCCAGTGTGCTCAGCAAGAAACTGTTTCTTTGGAAAATATAGAAATTTGCTTTTATTCCAGTAATAATAAAATAGATATATTTATCATGGCATTTAAAACAGATTTCTATGTAGCTATAATTTAGAGTTGGAAAAGTGATTTAACAATGCATAAACTGTTGCTCAGATTTAAAGAGACAATAATGAAGTATAACATTATAAGAAAGAATGTGCTCATTTCTTCTTTAAGTGTGTTTGCCTTAGATTTGATGGCACTGATTGTGTTTATGAAATTAGAGGAACTCGCCCTGGCCGGTTTGGCTCAGCGGTTAGAGCGTCGGCCTGCGGTCCGGAGAGGCCCGGGTTCGGTTCCCGCTAAGGGCATGTACCTCGGTTGCAGTTTGTCCCCGGCCCTGGTTGGTCGTGCGGGTGGCGGCCACTCGATGTGTCCCTTTCACATCGATGTTTCCCTCTCTCTCTCTCCCTCCCTCTCTGTCTGTGCAAAAAATGGAAAAATGTCCTCGGGTGAGGATAAAAAAAAAAAAAAAAGAAATTAGAGGAACTCATGTATGCTGAGTTCAGTGCCAGGCACAATACCTTATGTACATAGGAGTCTCTTAATATAAATTTATTAAAGAGAATTACATTAGTAGCTTTTCCTTTGGGGTTAGAATTGGGTTGGAAGTCTGAATAATCTGAATAATTCCTCTGTTTGCAAATAAGATGGTAAGAGTCTGGGACTAATCTTTTAATATTCTCTTTTTTCAGTTATTCCATTCACTGCGACACCAGTGAATGCCTTCTATAACGGCTGCATGGAAGTGAACGTGAATGGGGCACAGCTGGATCTGGATGAAGCCGCTACTAAGCACAGTGATATCAGAGCTCACTCTTGTCCATCAGTTTTGGAAAACAGAAAGCATCCTTAAGTCATCTTTTCTCTGCTGATGACATCTTTTTCCTGGGTGTAATTATACTTATGTTTCAATAATAGTTGAAGGGTTTTACTTATGGTGGGCAAACCTTGATTATTTTATGGTACTTTGACCTTATTGAAATTTTAAGAAGGTCCTTTTTTGAGAAAATAAGATTCTCTTGTGATAGAAATCACATTTAAGAAATTCTTACCTCTGTTGCTGTCTAGAAATTAAATAATGAAAATCAAAAAACTTTAGAGTTTTTTGCTATAAGTGACATGTCTTTATTTTTATGTTTATAAATTTAAATAGTATCATCATGAATTAGTGTTTAGATATCAATTTTTCTTAGAAGGTAAAGAAGTTAACCTAAACAAATGTTCATGGGACTCAATACTGTTGATCATAGCAGATACTATTTTATTTGTTTGTTTTTTTTGTTTCTTCCTAATGAAGGCAGAAGAGACAGTGGGCATATTAATTGGAATTGAGTGGAAGGCCTTACAGCTTTATTCCAAAATAACTCCTCAGGGTACCAGCTTTCGCTTCATCTTTCTCTGACCGGCTTCACATGTGAACCAGTAGTTTCACTGAATTAGAAAACAAGTAGACACATTTTTAGACAGCGGCACATGTGTCTTGCCCGTTACTAACTGGATTCCATGAGAATGAGATACCAGATTGTGTTGGGATGGATGTGGAATCCCGGGGGGGGGGGGGGGGTACATTCCTTAAATTTGGCTCTGTGGGTCACACAAGCTCTTGATTAGAAAAAGCAGAACCTAATGATGGAAAGAATAAATGATTCCAATTACCAGAGTAAGTTGCCAGAATGTGACTGATTATTGAAAGACAAAAGGGACCATGAAAACTAAAATAGATATTAATGAAAGTGTAACAGAAGAGGAACAGAGTTAACGTTGTGTCTTTGAAGAAAGCAGTTTTATCACTCCTAAACCTACCATTCACGTTAGGAATGTATCTGATATTTCATTGACAGTTTTAGAAAACAAACATTTTTCCCCACTATTGATATTTTATATCATGTAACACATAATAAATTGGTGTATATTTTAAAATTTTATATGAATGATATCTATATTCTGTCAACTCTTTGAACAGAACATAAAATTACCTTAGCCAGGTAGCTCAGTTGGTTAGAATATCATCTCAATACACTGAGGTTATTAAAACGACTATGAGGTATCACCTCATACCTATCAGAATCTGTCAGAATGGCTGCCATCAACAAATCATCAAACAACAAGTATTGGTGAGGGTGTGGAGAAAAGGGGACTCTAGTACACTGCTGGTGGGAATGCAGACTGGTGCAGCCACTATGGAAAACACTATGGTGTTACTTCAAAAAGTTAAAAATTGAACTGCCAACTGACCCACTGATCCCACTTCTGGGAATATACCCTAAGAAGCCTGAAACACCAATCAGAAAGAATATATGTACCCCCATTTCATAGCAGCACTATTTACAATAGCTAAGATCTGGAAACAACACAAGTGTCCATCAATAGATGAGTGGTTAAAAAGCAGTGGTACATGTACACAATGGAATACTATGCAGCTGTAAGAAAGAAAGATCTCTTATCCTTTGAGATGGCATGGAAGGACCTGGAGAGTATTATGCTAAGCGAAACAAGCCAAGCAGAGAAAGACAAATATTACACGATCTCACTTATTTGTGGAATATAATGAACTAAACAAACTGATGAACAAAATTAACCCAGAGTCATCGAGGTGGGATATAGACTGACAAGTCTCAGAGGAGTGTGTGTGTGTGTGGGGGGGGGGGGGGTGGATTGTGGGGGAAGAGATAAACCACAGAACTTACATGCATGTATGCATGACCAATGAACATAGACAATAAAGCTGGGGATGGGGTGGGGGGAGAAGGGGAGGAGGGCATCAGTGGGGGAAAAATGAGAAACATCTGTAACAAAAACAAATAAACCACCAATGAATGCATTAATAAGTGGAACAACAAATTCCTGTTTCGCTCTCTCTCTAAATAATCAATAAATTTTTAAAAAAGAACATAAAATTACGTATCATTCATGTAACTCTTCATGTAGCACAGTAGTTTTTCAGTTCAAAGGCAGATGAAGCTCAAATACTTGCTGGATTGTTAAGGCTGCATTGTAGACTGGTGCTGAGAAAAGAAAAGCAAAAGTCACGTGTTGAGTATTTGCCAGAAATTGTGCTAGACCAATTGACAGGATGTCATTTCTCTTCGAATTATCACCATGTACCATGGGTTATGAATTTCAGCAAGCAATGCTGATCATTACATTGATGTAAAAAAGTAAGGGAGAAGAGCCCTGATGGGTGTGGCTCACTTGGTTGGAGGGTGTGCAGCAAAAGGTTGCCCGTTTGATTCCTAGTCAAGGCACATACCTAGATTACCGGGTTCATCCCTGGTGGGGGCACGAACAGGACACAACCAATCTATGTTTCTCTCATCCATGTTTCTCCCTTCCACTCTCTAAAATCGGTAAAATATATCCTTGGGTGAAGATTAAAAAATAAATAATATCCTACATATGATGATTGATTTTTTTTATTTTTTAATCCTCATCTGAGGACATTTTCCCACTTCTTTATTCAGATAGAGTGGGAGGGAGAAAGAGAGAGAAACATCGATGTGAAAGGACACATCGAGTGGCTGCCACCCACACAACCCAACCAGAGCCAGGGACAAACTGCAACCGAGGTACATGCCCTTAGTGGGAACCGAACCCGGGTCTCTCAGGACCGCAGACCGATGCTTTAACTGCTGAGCCAAACTGGCCAGGGCTGATGATTGATTTTTTAAAAATACCTAATCACTCTTCAGAGTATATGTTTTTAATTGAGCAAAATTGTATTTCAGATTTGTGATGCCAGGAACATGAACGAACTAAAAGTTCCTGTGCAGTTGTCAGAAACAGTAAATCCAGCTTTTTGTGGAAAAATAAAATAAAATAAAGAGAACTGTGGTTTCAAGTAGCATATTTGGTGCTATTTGGGGTTTGTGTTATAAGAAAATCCAAGTGACAGAGTCATCACATTGTCCACTAGAACTTACCATTTTCAGAGAAAGGTTATGGATCAGTGAAACTAATGGTTAATTTGTGATAACAGTTATTAACCTCAATTTTTTGTCTGAAGTTTTCATTCCTGTTTCAGTCTCTGTGACTCTTATAAAGTATTTCTACTTATCTTGTCATTCTGAAACTAGTATTATAGCTGGAGAGAAGACTTAAAAATTTTTCTTTTCCTTTATTAATTTTAGAAAGAGAGGAAGTGAGAGGGAGAGATAGAAACATCAATGAGAAAGAACATTGATTGGCAGCCTCCTGCATGCCCCTCACTGGGGATTCGGCCCACAACTTGGGCATGTGTCCTGACCAAGAATCGAACTGGTGACCTCTTGGTATATGGGTCAACACTCAACCACTGAGCCACACTGGCCAGGCTGTATGTTTGTTTAATAATAGACACTTCTTTGGGAAATCCCTTAAGCCTTTAATCTCTGTGGTCAATACAAAAGACTGGAATATTGGAAATAATTTTATTTCAAATTTCTTGATGTTGCTATTAATAATATGGGTTTGGGAAAAGACAGGGTCACTAGATCCTCTAGGGAAAAGTGTGGGTACAAAGCAGGTTCTTGCAGGTTGTACTAAGAAATGGCAATAAAACTCTTGATCATTGCACCTATATTAGTTTGTTCCTTACAAACAAGACTGATCTTGGACATGAGTTACTAGCTATTACCAGGCTTCAAGCTTTCACAGAGAACTATATTTAAAAATTGGGCCTTCTCCACTGGAAGAGGCATTGGTCCAAGGTTCATCCAATGATGTACTCGGGTCCACTCCCAGCTCGTGGCTATCTCGATTTGATGTTTGCACAGTATGGCAGTGAAGGGCAGTTAATGGGTCATCATCCTACGAGGGCTGTTTGGTACATGTTAATATAAACACAACAAGGTCAGATTACCAGATCAGATTGACACCATAAACTGAACGACTCAAAATGTGTGAAGCTAAGAAAGTCAGAAGTAGAAGGGAACTGAGTGTGGAGCAGTTTGGAACAGTAGCATACCAGTGAGGCATAGTCTGACCACAGTCGGCTACGTCTGCAATGCTGCACACCTGCCATGGTACAGCAGTTACCTGGTGGATAAGGGCAGCATGCGGTGAGCTTACAGACACTTTTCTGTGTCTGACAACTACTTCCCACAGCAAGTTCACTCCAATTGTAACCCTGGTTTTGTAAGAGAAATTGTACAATAAAATTTGCAGTTTACTAGTGTGAAATCCTCTTTTCTGCTAAAGGTTCAAATGGTGGAATCTGAAATCTCATTCCGTAATTAGTCTCCAGATGGAAAAACAACTTAGAACATTTTTATCCTTCTTCAAGTTGATTTGAAGAGAAAAGAGAATGGGTCAATATTTAACTGACATAGGAAGAATTTAACATTTCTTAATAATAAACATAAAACAATAAGTTATTATTGTTTTAATCCTCCCCCGAGGACATTTTTCCATTTTTCGTTCAGATAGAGTAGGAGGGAGAGAGAGGAAGACAGAGAGAGAGAGAGAAACATCGATGTGAAAGGGACACATCGAGTGGCTGCCACCCACACAACCCAACCAGGGCCGGGGACAAACTGCAACCGTGATACGTGCCCTTAGCGGGAACCGAACCGGGGTCTCTCTGGACCGCAGGCCGATGCTCTAACCGCTTAGCCAAAGTGGCCAGGGCAAAACAATAAGTTATTTTACAGAAATGTAAAGAATAAGTATAATAAATATTCAAGTGTAGTTAAACAAAGCCACATTGAACCTTGGGGCCGAGGCTGGGGCCTTCAGGGATGAGTATATCCTGAGCCAACTTGGCATGTGCAGTAGCCACAGAGGACTAAAACTGGAAAATAGGCATCGCCTCGGCCTCCTTTGCACATGCGACCAGCAAGATGCCAATCTGGAATTCAATCCCAGGACATCTGGCTCAAGAGTTCATGCCCCAGTTTGGAACTATATGCACCCTTATTAGTTATCCCATCACTTAGTAAATGTTATATTTTTGGAGTGAACAAATTGTATCTCCAGCTCTACTGATAACCTGCTGTATTATTGAGTCCCAGTCAATAATATTATTAATTTAATGGTTTTGAAGACAAATATGATATTACTTTACTCAATTAAACTAATACTGATACTGATAATGACTCTGAAAAGTTGAATACTTATATAATGAGAACTCTGGGCTAGACACTATCCTAAGAAAACAGTGGAGAAGATGCCCTAGTCTTGCCACCAACATAATTACAGTCTAGGGGAGAGCAGACAAATGGACAGTAATTAAAATATGAGCTGGGGTTTGATAAGAAGTGCAGCACAAAAAAACATTTCGGGAGGTTTTGTGGAAGAATAAATGAATTTCAGATAGAAGCTTGGTGAAATGCTACTTGAATTAGGCCTGATAAGATAGATAGGAATTCCCACTAATTTATTTGCTTCCAAGTCCTGTTGCCCACAATGTTTTCAGATGATCTCTCACACAAAAGTCTTATTTCACTATAATACTCAAAACCTCCTTTGTTTATCTATTGATTACTGCATGAAGTACATGTGATTAATTGGGCTTTTGAGGGCATTCATCATTAACTATGGGTCTCAACCCAAGATGCTTACTAGATTCACTGGCCACATCCTGGATAACTAAATCGGAAGATTCTCACAGGTAACCAAAGTAACAAGTTATAGATCCATCCTCTGAGTAAGTCTCTAGCTTGGCGATTTTCAACTGGTGTGCCACAAGAATTTTTTAAACATACAATATCTGACTCTAGTCAGGGACACTGACATCTTTTCCCTTAGATTGTCAGATAAAACAATAACAATAGCCAACAAAATAGCCAATCAGTATGAATGCCCTGTCTTGAATCATAAATTTATAGGTCATATAATAGTGTTGCATTTTATTGGTCATGTCACAAAATAAGGTTGTGTCTGATTGGTTAATTCTTGGTACCAAAAATCCTTACATACTTCTGGGCACCTGATTTTTTCTTAATTGTCTTTATTGTTGAATATATTACAGGTGTTTCTCATTTTTCCCCTATTGACCCCCTCCTTCCCACTCCTGTCCCCCTCCTGCTTTTCCCCATTCTGTTGCCTGTGTCCATTGGTTATGCATACATACATATAAGTTCTTTGATTTATCTCTTCCCACCCTCCATCCCCC